GGCTTTACTGCTACAGTAAATCTAAGGAGCAACTCAAGTCGGCATCAAGGACGAAAGTGACGTCTTTCTGTGCAGTGGAGATTTCACAGCCCTCTGCTAGTCTGGTGATCCGGTGTATTTGTCAGTAAGCGGCAGGAAATACATTGACTCCCTTGAGAAAATGCATGAATGTGTGTGTGTCATTGGACCTTCTGGCCCCCGCAGCCAGCTCAGAGCACAGACCCTTCATTTCTCCCTCATGTCGTTCAGAGCGATAGAGGCCAGACCTTGTCCATCATTCTGTTATTAGGCCGCACACGAGCTGGTGAATCTCTGCCTCAACCTGCTGTCCACCAACTGCACGCCGTCTTGTTCCGCTTGGGAGGGCACATGTCATATCTGTCTAAAGAGAAATATTTAATAACGGTGCATTCCCTCTTCCCAGCTGTCATCACATGACATTTGAACGAGTTAACTCATCTCTATGATGTCTATTTAAGCCAGAAAACTTTTAAACAAACTGTCTAGAGCTGCAAAAAATGATTATTTTATTTACCAATCTGTCAAATCAAATACATTTTCTTGATTCAATCAATTAGTCATCTGTCCGAAAATGGTGAAAAATTTCCATCACAAGTTACCAAGGTAACGTCTTCACATGTCTTGTTCTGTCTGACCAACATTCAAAAACACAAAGATATTAAGTTGACTATCACCGAAGACTAATGTTGAAATAATATTGTTAAATTGGTACATTTAATTGTGTACATGGTTAATTTAAATATAATTCCAATGTACACACTAATAAAACCCTGATACAGAGACCTGTTGTCCTCTACATGAAGTATGATCCGTGGTGCAAGTGAAAGCTGTCTTTTTGATGTGAGTATTAACCATACTGCAAAAGCAGGTTGAAATAAAATGTAAGACCCTCCCCTGCAAACCCAAAAAAGTCAAACTACACTAACTTCACATTCCTCCCTCTTTTCTAATCTCCCTAATCATTTTCCTACAGTGCCTAATCTGGAATAATTGGATATGACAATTATTCTGAACAAAGTAAGATTACAATTTTGCTCTTTACTGGTTGACTGCTCACTATGAGCTCTTTCACAACTGCTGAGCTTCTGATGCTCAGGTGATGTCAACTGTATTGAAGTAAAATCCATCAGGTAAAGGTGAAATTAAAACACAGTAGAAGTGCACAAAAAGCTACCAAATAAATGAAGTGAAGGTAAATAGTTACTAAACTGAATCTCTCTTTCTTTACTTGAACTATTTGGAATTTAATATAATTAGATTAGTGATAGTGATAAACCGAAGCCTTAATCTGTTTCGGTTCATTACCTCCTCTACACTGCAGACCGTGAATATGCTGCAACTGTAGACCATACTTTTACTACACTGCATGTATAATATTCCTCTAGCTAAAGCAGTTAGGTGTAAAATACAGATTACATCCTGACATTTAAGATGCTTAAAAACCATTTTCCTATTTGTGATGTGTGAAACAGATTTTTATGTAAAATAACACTCTCACACATAAACTAAAAACATGGCAGAAAAATCCTTTTTCCTGTCCAGATATGGCCATTAATGAAGGAGGGCAAAGACAAAGGCTGAGTAGCAGCCAGACAAAGAAATCATAAGTGAATTTCATTAAATGAGTTATCTATCTACTTAAAACTAGTTCTGGCTCACTGAGTGGTGAAATGACATTTGGAGCATCTAGCAGGGTTTATGCACCAGTAAGTGTTCTTCATAGGTAGCTGGCAATTAAGCATGGCATAACATCTCCAGTAACGTGTCTAATTCATCTCTTTTGGCATGTGGGAGAGACAACATGGGCCGATTGTTTTGTCTCATGTGTCAGAGGATTTCAATGGAAGCCAATCACAGGCCTTTCCCCACAGCCCACAATCTCCACCTTGTCATGCTGCCATTTTCTGCGCACACAGACAAAAGATGAGGACGAACTCAGACATTTTGCAATCAGTGTTCCTGGAGCTCGGCCACGACTCGTTTAGGCTACAAGACGACCTTGACACCCAGTGGGCATGAGAACACACATGCCGCCACAGAGACGGCGTGCACATACAGTGCAATCCAAGAGTACCCAGACACGCCACCTCCTGTGTGCACACACACTCACAGCTGTATGCGTCTGAGCTGTTGGCTGGTTCCTACAGAGGTCGAGCTAATCCAGCTCCAGTGTTTAGTGCTGTGAAGCGGCTGGAAACACATGAGCTGTTAACAAGTTATGGTGAAAATGTTTTCTGGCAGGCACCCTCCTCCTCCTTCACACTTTACCTAGCAGCAGCTCACAGTGCACCTCCTCCACTGACACATCCAACCTGGCAACCGCCGACGCCACACGCTTTCACACTTCTTCTGACTTCTGCACACACGTATGTACAGCACTAATGTGTGCATGTACACAAGCATGCTCACGCACTACCACTACTCTACATCTGCTCTGATGGAAAATCACACAACCCAACAGAAACAAGCAGAAGTAATACAAGGAATAATTTATGTGGAAAACCACCACCGTTCTCAATATCTTTCCTGTTGCAGTAAGTTTACTGTGTATTGTGTGGTGCTGTGCCGCACTGAAAAACACTTTTATGGATCACTGATAATGCTGAGTTACAGTAAAGACCATTTTCCAACATAACCACCTAGTGTTTTTAACCCTCACATGACCAACTCTGCAACCATACAAACATCTTTAGCTGTCAGATGACGTAAATGTTTACCTTTCCCATCTAGACTATCCTCCCTATATGACATTAAGCCAATGCCAATTTCCTATCCTGTTTTGCATCTCAAGGTATTTGTCTCTGTGTGTGTGTGTGTGTGTGTGTGTGTGTGTGTGTGTGTGTCTAAATGGAGGCAGCAGCCAGACCTGGCGATGGCCCACAGCACTGGGCTCCAGAGCGCCAGCGGCTATGGATGGCAGCACGGTCCAAGCAAAAGCTTTTGACAACACAAAGCGACAACAGTAAAGCCCCACAGAAAGTACAGCACAAGTAGGCCAGGCTCTCAGGGAGCCTCCTCCTCCTCCACCCTGTCCTGTCCTCGTCCTCTTCTGGTTCACTCACACAGCATCCGCAGGGCTCGGCTTGTCTTTTCAGAGTGAGCCAAGAGTACACCCTTCCACTCTGAGCTCAATATGCAGCGATAGTTGTCTTCTTCTACTAACACAAACACAGGAGTGGGACTGATGGCTGCTGGGGCATGTGTGTGTGTGTGTGTGTGTGTGTGTGTGTGTGTGTGTGTGTGTGTGTGTGTGTGTGACTGCAGCACAGACATCTCTACGCACAGTATTGTTGCCTGTGATGTGTGTGCTGTGCAGGTTTGTGTTTCTGTGTGCAGGTTGTTGACAAGTTGAAAATGGAAGGCATCAGCAAAACGACGTGCACATCAGTGAGGAGTGGTGGAGTAATAAAGTGGCTCTGATGAAAACTTAATGGCCCCTTCACCTTTATTAATGGCTGTGGGAGCAGGATCGTGCGCTCAGGTTCACCGCCGTAATAACACGTGTAGCACTGCGCAGGGAAAGCAGCTCCATCAGCTCTCACTAACTCACTGCAAGAGAAGCTCATAACAGGAAGGGAGGCCCACTAATTGACTCCCTGACAACTGGCTAACTAGCAACTGATTTTAGCCAAATGAGCCTTAAACACAGTTCAGCACAGGACTTGCAACAGGTGATGTTTGAATTTAAATGAGATGATCTGTTCTGTGTTTATGTCTGTCTGCAGTTTCAACACCTGTGCTTCCCTGAAAAAAGGAGGCATTCAGTGCGCATTCTTCCCTCTTTGCAGATACTTGCGCTACAATCACACAAGCAGCCACTTATTAATATCTCCCTTTCAAATGCTAATGCTCCTTCATACATAAATCATAACTCCAGAGGTGGCTGGTAGAGTGTAGCAGTTTTTTTTTTGTTGTTTTTTTTTTTTAGTGAGGGGGTGCAAGGCTGGGGGGGTCCAAGCAGCCTTCCTGTTGTAACGGATGAAATTATCCCACAACTTGCATGAATAGTAAAGTGTCCCAGATACCACTCTTAGAACAAGGCCAATTGTTTTTTTGCTCTAACAAGCTTCCAAGCTCCCACAGCCTCAGCAACAATCTGCAACATGGCAGTCATTCCCAAACTTTCCCCAAAGTCATGGCCCTGCAAACAGATCTGGATCACCGTGTTCACCCTGAAGCACTCCCATTTGTGAACATGTTTGTTGTTGGATGTAATTGCACAGCGGGAATACAGAGTGGTCGCACATTCACTAACTGGTTTTCAATTTGACAAAGAGAGACGAAATTGAAATTCCTGCTAGTGGGGGAGCCCTGAACGGTGAGCAGGCTGCCAACCCTGGTGCCACTTTCGCAGCTTCAATGTGTGTCTGACATGCTGTGCTGCAGATGCTGCTCTGTATGGTACACCCCCCAGATCAATGAATCACTTCATCTGACTGTAACGCACAGCATCATCCCAAATGTGTTCTCATGAAAAACTGTCTCAGGCGGAGCATCAGTGCCACCACAGTACTGATCTTGTTGTGTCATTTAGTTTTCCGGTGTGTGCAGCATGTATGTGGCCGACTACACACAGTTTCATCATGAGGTGTCAGTGAACCCTGAGCCCCCCCCCCCAAAAAAAAACAAATTCTGAAAAAGCAAACGAGCTTCTGTGGATACAAGGAATAATAGCTGATGGATGAGTAGATATTGTTAAATCTGCAACATAACAAGTCACTTGAAGTATATTTTAAGTTAAAAATTTAAATAAATTGCTTCTCTCTAATCAAGAGTAATTATCCTGAGGCAGTTATAATTTCCTGATTTAGGGCACTAATATATGTATACATTCATTTTGGATCCAATAAGACTGCTGTCCTGCTACCCACTCTTTCCTGGATCCCACTGTATATGCCATGCCCTACCCACTTGATGCCCCACATGCTCTCATCCATCCACATGTGACGGACATGGGATGGATGTGTATGGATAACTACCTGCCAGGAGCTGGAGGGGATCTCTGCGAATTTGCCCAGTCCCCCGAAGGTGTAGCATCGGTACATGTGATCCAGAGACTCCGAGCAGTGCCACAGCAAGCCGAAGCTCACGGAGTCCTTGTTGTTGGCGTGGTGGTGCGGGTGGTGGTGGCTGTTCCTCAGTTGGTCCTTAACAATCCAGGCAGGAGATATGAAGCTGAAACTGCACACGGCGACCAGAGCGGAGGAGAGGAGCACCCAGAAGCAGCCCACACAGCTGAACATGGTGGCAGCTTGGGGCAGAAAGCCCGGAGACAGACCCAGATCGATCCCAAACCCGACTTCTTCTTCTTTCTTCTCCCGGCCCAGGAGCGAATGCATTTGGAGCTCACGCCTTCAAGACTTCAACTTCAGCCCCTGACCAGCAGCACTACATCAGCAAACAAATCACTGGACATCCGCAGCAGCAGCCCCGTGTGTGTGTGTGTGTGTGTGTGTGTGTGTGTGTGTGTGTGTGGGGGTGCATGTGTGTGTGTCCAGAACATCTGGGGCTGGACAGGAAGAAAAAAAACACTAAGAAAACGTCCAAAACACATCAGCAGGAGGAGTGATGGTGACACAATAAAGTCAAGTCATCCGCGCCTTCACTCCGCCTGGAAAAATGCCCAAATGTGACACACACGCACAAGATGTTTGTCACACCCAGAAGTGGATGCGCAGTTGTCATAGCAGAGCACTTTCACTCAGAGACACAAATACAAACACAAACATGTCCTGGACCCGCTGGTGTCCTCCGCTCCTCTCAAGGCACTTGCTCTGCCTCAACACGGACGGCAGCGCACTTTGCGTCTTAGAAAGAGAGTGCGTCTGGACAGCGTCAAGCTCACTGCGGTTAATACAGCTTCCGGGTGGGATTTTCAAAGTTAAATTATCTAAGAGGAGCGACACAAAGAATACATTTAAATATGTATAACTAAAGGGATACTACACCGATTTTACACATAAATTATTGTAAAATGGTGGTCAATTGGATTTTGTTTTACTTTTGCATTAGTTCAACATCAAACACTGAAATTATTTGCACCTTATACTAAAACTGGACGCAGCCACAAAAATTTGAGTTCCACAAAGATTATTTTTTTCTCTTCTTTACTCAACACGTTTTTTTTTTTCCCGCCAGGTCCGCCACAAAGTGGAGCACTTGTATGAGATACCACTTATATGTCAGACCTGTACTGCTTTTCATGAGCTAATATATAGAGCGCATCATTAAAAAAAGCTTCATAATTTTAAATGTAATCTGGGCTGATTGTCATACTATATTGGTTGCATTATGGGAAATTAAGAATCCAGTGTTCTGGGGCTTGACCCATATCCCAAAAAGGGATTTAAAGTCAGGATATGCTGCTTCTATTCTGATTCTTTTGTTTTAATGTGCCTATTGTGATTGCAATACTAAATTACTGAAGTAACCCTTTAAAATGTAATTCACATGTTCTGTAATGTCTCATTGGGCAACACGTCTCATTCACAGTGTACCACAGAGATGGATATACAACTACATACTCAATCAACAGGAACAACAAGATGAGGCTCCTCATCAGGTTCGGTTCCACTCAGGTTGACTGATCACTGTCATTCTGTACCGTATGAGGAAGGAGAAAGTGGGAGGTGTGTGTCACAACCATTGACAGTATATATGGCCACAACTGGGATATGTCAGATACCATATTTAATTAAAACCTACCTAATAATCCTATGAAAAATGACATTTATAGATCATATCTAATGATTTAGCATGGTGTGTGAATACACCTTAGCCTATCAACATCAGCAGGTTAAAACAGGTTGAAAAAGTGGATGTAAACATTATCCAGGTGGCAGATTTTTGGCGCACACCCACAACACGGCCAACACATAAAGTGACTTTCCCATTGGTGGGAAATATGTTTCTGTATGTGCCCGTGGTCGCAAATCCTTTCAGACGCCTTTGTTTACTTATATTCTGAAAGCAGAAACTCCCTTTTCCGGTGTTTTGCATAGTTTTTTCAACTTGACAGAAAGGCGTCTGGCCGCGGGTACTAGTCTAAATACACTTTGTCACTTTGTTAATGCACAGTGTTATGAGCACTGATAGGGCTTTCATCTAGACAGCGATAACTGTAATAAAAACAGTAGGCTATATGGAATTATTCTTTGAACATTTTTTAATCTCAGTTAAATGTTTTTTCTCCCCCAGAACAAAACACCACCCAGCATCGACATGTACAGACAAAGTGACTGTTGTTGTATTTATTGTTGCACAGACACAGGTCTGTGTTATTGTAACAAACGATAGCCAATCAGAGCTCAGGACGGGGACAGTCTGTTCGTATTGAGGTGGGCGTTGCCTCTGCACGTGCAGGTAGCCTCGGTCTGGAAACCACAATGAGCTCGTGAAGCTTCAGCGGTATGCAGCAGCACTGTCAAACAGCACATTGCCATTTAGCCAATTAGTATGTAAAATAGTTATCACACTGATTAGCTTCAGTAGCAGGATAGCTGTATCTTTAAAATACACACAATGGAATCAAATTCACTACAATTCAAATCCGGTTATTGTGAACAATACGCACAGAGCTGCTATTATACTGCACCGCTGTGGTTAATACTGCACACAGGGAGAGGTAACTACAACACTGAGACCTGGAGATGAACATCTTAAATGCTTTATACTGTACTGGAGGTGACTTTGAGCCCTTTGGGTTGAACTGTACCTGTACTTATTTTAATGTCAGGAAATAATATGGTGTCATCAATTTTTCTCTTTTACCCTAACACAGCAATACAGTCAACATCGCCCCCACCTGGTCAGAGGTGATAATAGTCCACCCTAAAGCTGTTGGCGCTAGGCTTGTCACTTTTCCCACACAATATTGATGCTAAAAACCAATCTGCCTGTAAAACAAAACATTTTTCTGTATCAAAATAACTACAGCCTGCAGCGGGCTGAAAGCGCAAATACTTACAAACACTTTAGCTAAAATATGTTAAAGAAGGAAAAAAAAAATGAGGACAGACAAAAACATTTCATAATATATGTATTTCAATCAAACACAATTTAAATATATTATAGATTAAGTACACGTACATGTCAGAAAACATTAGTGGTACATAGTACCAAGAGTCTTTTCTGGTTCTTTTCCACATCTTGGTAAGGCTCAAATAAAAAAAAAAGGTTTAATTCACTGAGCACACTTTCCAGTTGAACAGTCCGGTCATCACTGACGTTTGTTTCAGTGATGCATTTAAAAAAAACAGCGACCACCATAAAAAAGGACTAACAATATATGGGGTAAACCAGAAATCTACATATATTTATATATATATATAGAACATTTAGGACATGGAGTTTTCCAACACAACTGGAGCACTTAAGTTCATTAGGGGAGTACTTCTTCTTCTACGCTCTGTAAAGGTGCCAGGAGGTTCATATAGGAGGTCAGACAGTTCAAGAACTGAATCAGCTTTTCATTGTTGCATTTCCAGATGGTCTACAGTACGTAAAACAGCCAACGAAGGACAGCTCACAAAAGTGAACAGCAGACAAAACTACTCCAGGCAGGCAGAGGGAAGCGTATGCAAAAACTGTACAACGCTGATTTTGATCTGCTTAAGCCTTAAGTGGCCGACCCTTAAGAGAGAATTTCATCTAAAAACAAGGAATGGTTATAAAAGGTGTGGGGAGGTGTTTCATGAGGGAGTGCGGTTAGTTCAGTCTTTATCACCTCCTCCATAGGCCCGGGATAAGACATTTTTCAGACAGTATGGCTACAGCGACTCAGTGATCGACTGACATGTTGCTCCTTCCTCCAGCATCATGTTGACCGTTTCCTTCACCAGGAGTGTCTTCCTCCAGTCTGATGCAAGCTCTGGGCTTTGCTTTGCTTTTGGCGACTACAAGTGTACCTTTATAGTGTTATGGAGTTGGAAGATTGGAACAATGATGTACTTCAACTTTTTCCATTAGCCCATGCGTGAACAATCCCTCGCCCAAGCACACACACACACACACACACACACACACACACACACACACACACACACACACACACACACACACACACACACACACACACACACACACACACACACACACACACACACACACACACACACACACACACACACACACACACACACACACACACACACACACACACACACACACACACACACGGGGAGATGATAAAATGCCTTGTTCGTTCTCAGAGTAATGCAGTTCATTGTAGGGTGAACCCTGTGTACAGTTTGTCACTGGCTTGGCCAGCGTCTGCAGGGAGTGACAGTCCTTTGGTTCCTCAGTGGGGTCATAACTGCAGACAGACAAAAGAAAACACTTAGAGAAGAACTGCAGTGATTCCACACATCGCCGCACAGGAGAGAGACTACTGAGGGAGGTTTTGTACCTTGGTGGCCTTGCCAGGGCTGTCATGGTTTGACTGGTGGACGACGTCGTTGACAATCATCTTGGCAATCTGCCATGCCATCTCCTCCTGGGCCTGAAGGAAAGACACAACAATAAGTTATTTCGGAGGAGACTTTTATTGATACCATCATCAAATCACAAAGTGAATTTGAATACATGTCATCAAGGGCCTTGCAATGGGCCTCAGACCAATGAATCCTTTATGAATATTTTAACACCTTGTGGCCTCACCTCATCTGAGTTGCCTTGGACCCATTTCTTCATGGCTTGAGAAAACATGGAACCTAAATGAGAAAAGAAGGAAGGCTGAGTGAGGCAAAGTGACTGCATCAGTGAGCACAAATTCATGAATTAATCTGAGCAAATAAAGTGCTTTAAACTGCAGTATAATTTGACTTTCTCAAGGTGAGTTTATCCCGACATAGTTTCGTCCGAGAGAAAGCACTCCTAGACACGATAAATAGATTTAGTATGTTGTTATATCTAAAGAGTAGTGGAAGCTTTTCTTCCAAAAGGGAATGGTTCTTAAATATTTTAAAAGGCTTTGAGCTGTGAGGAGAATGGGAGCAGCCACAAGATGAGGTTTTTATTCATGGGCACAGAGTAGATGTTTTTCACTACAAGGAGAAATGAGATAAAATATGACCGAGTGAGGGCAAAGAACATCATGAGACAGAGAGAGCCTAACAGGTAGAAGAGAGAGAAAGAGACAAGTGTGAGTATATCATGCCTTTGGATTTCTTCACGTCCGGCTCTGGCTCTGCCTCCCTGATAAACTGGCCCATCTCATTCACCTTGCCAAACGTCATCTTTCTGAGAGGACAGAGGAGAGGAGAGGAGAGGAGACAACGGAAGACAGCAGACTGTAAATGTAAATGTACTGCAAATGGGACAAAACTGACCCTCAGGCACACACACCACATCAAACACCGCTGTGTGTGTGTCCGTTCGGTAACTACAATTCAGATTGTCTTTCAATAACATTCTCTTGAATTATCTTTGTACAGAATTTTTCAAAGCACGCTCATAAAACACTTTACGAGGGAGTCAATAAAAACAGAACAGATACATCCGATCCAAACGACAGTGCGATGCAATGAAAGGAACGCAAAAGGAGAGAAACATCAAAGTAAAATATAACAAGGGAACTTGAAAAGTACATTTGAAGAGATTATTTAAAATACAGTTAAAGTAAAGCCAGATTGGTAGTTTAACCCCCAGATATAAATCACATACTGTAACATTTTTAAAAGAACAGCAGCCATTGGTTTCCATTCATTTCATAAAAGAAAAAGAAACGTCCGTCTGTACCCATGTGAAAGTAAATGAACATTAGTCACACAAAACTCACCCAGCGTACGGCCGCTGGTACAAAGACTCAGGGTCCAGGCTGGCAACGTCCACCGTGATTGCCTCGTCAAAGTTTTTCAGGATCTTGATGGCTGCCTTTCTGGCACCATGCTGTAGTGACATGTTTGGCAGTGTTACAGGTAACATTTGTTATTTCTTTTCTATGAAGACAACTAAAAGACAGGAATGATCACAACCCTTTGGCATTATATATCTTCATTGTTCATGTAATGAGGCGGAACGGGTCTAAATGTCAGCAGACAGGGGAACATCCCCACAGGGACTGAAGATGTGGGTTAAAGTCGTGGTTCACCTGAGACTGGGAGACCTCGCTGGCATTTGAACTTGTACGATCGTTGTCCGCGAGCCCGCCCTGACCCGGAGTGCTGACATTCACAAACTCATCTGCCCGCACCGAGTTGATGAGGTCACTCAGGTATTTGTAGTAAAGGTTGCTAGACAGGAAGCCTGGCATGTAGACCTGAACAAATGCAAAACACGGAGAACTCTGTTAGAGAATAATGAGCTCCTTGAAATATTTCTGGGCAAAGGTTACGAAGGTTTGTTAGTGACCTTTATGCGCTAACAACAGCATTCAGCTTTCATCTCATTAACTTAAAGCAGGTGCATTTGTCTGTAGTGTAACGGGACAATTCGTCAGTGACTTACAACACAAAACCTTTAGGAGGATCCTAAAAAAAATATCTAATTAAATGTTTTAAAGGGCAAGAGTTTTTCTATTTCTGTTTCAGGGTGCTTTATTTTACATATCTGAACGTTCTCTATTTCCGTCCACGGTAAAAGAGCACAAGAGGAGACCCATAGTGAAAATGATGAGCCCTTGGTGTGCGGCCATTTGAGAATCTGACCTTCTCCATGGTCGTCCAGGCCTGTCTGAGTGGAGTGGTGAAACAGTCGGGGAGTGGCCCTCCCTCTCGGCAGATATTCGACTCTATCTCCATCCGCACAGAGTCACCAAAGCCCAGAGGGTTAGTGGCCTGGAGTGAGAAATACCTGGAGAGGAAATAGAGCGATGAACAGATGAAGGCAACTATATTAAGATTTTAATCAAAACCCAAATGAAATACAGAAGAAACCTCCAGAATGTTATTGAAGTATCTTAAAATGAGGCTGTATGGCTGCTGCTCCATATAGAGATGTTGCTTGGTACTGGGAACATTTAAAAAGGAGATGAAGCAGGTAGGACTATATGCAGAAAAGGTGCCATTAATGAATTAATATGCTCTCTTTGAGTTCCCTGCTTCACTAAGTCTATCACAGAGCTAATTATCAACTGTTAAGTGTTCCTGTTCAGCTATGAGTGTGTTCATGTATGTCAGAATAGAATAAGAAGCTGTAGAAATGATTTCCGAATATTCAAAAAGTACAGCTAAGGCTATAAACAAGTGGGTCTTTTGTATAAAATGAGTATTCCTTTGTTAGATGATAAACAATCCATTATGAATATGCGAGGTACACGATAGAGATAAAAGTAACGTACGACTGTTTCTGCTGCCGAAGCAGAGAGGGGGAGATAAGAAGTTAATGCCTGATAAGGTCTGTCTGCATTTATAATTATGGCAGCTAATTAACAGCGTGTGGGTTACTTTTCATTAAAGACAACCGAGGGTATGATTTTTTATTTCAAATTATCATCACAAAGTCACGTCATCTTATTCTGCAGTGATGGAATAAGAGTGTAAATGCCGCTCTAATTGTCATTATGTATTTATTGTCATAAATAATCCTTCCGTTTGTTGGAAGCTCTGTTGTAACACCAGAGTGGAAATGGAAAGAACAACTGATTAGACTGATCTATAGAAATAGCTACTGTTCTTTATTTCTTGTCACTTTATTGTAGGCTCTTTTGTCCATGTTGGAATCCTGTAGGAATGATGACTGTTGTTCCAGTGCTCTGATTGGTCAGTGGTTTGATTAACATACTCTTTAACCAAGAACGATTTACTGATGTACTGATAAATATATCTTTTTTTAAATAATTCTAACTCAAGTGGATAGCCAAACCGCAACGCTGAATGATATCGTTGGGATCACTGTCAGAGCGATTTGATGAAAGATATTGTGGTTCACAACTTAATAGATCTTTAATGATGTCCTCTTTTTTTTATCAGTGTGAATAACATTTGTCTTGTGTTGGATTTTCCTATCTCTTCTTGTCTTTGAAGAACAGTGTGAACCCATATCTTTCTGGTTTTCCTTTTGTTTATCTGCACAACATCCAGCAGTAACAGCTCATCAGTAACTTTATCCATTTCCCCATTAAGCTGTAGACACAGCTGGAGTGTGCAGTGCATGCTTGGTCGTTATAGTTATTGTTCTTGGTGTGGACAGCCCTTTAGCCGCGCAGCATAGGTTACCATAGTGATTTACCTCGGTGTAAAGTGATCCTGCTTTGTTATAATGGCCTTTGTGAAACAGACTACTGACAAAATTATGTTATTTTTAACTGAAACATTGGACTGAAATGGAACGTTGTGTAAGGGAAAGGAATAATTTCACAGAGAATAAAATAAAGCAAAACCATGTTACCTCCAGTAATTCCAAGAAAATGGTTGATATAGGTAAAACAGTATCACTGGGTGAAACTGTCAAACTCACTGGGGATTTTTTATTTTACTTTTAAGAAAATATATTCTGAGACTGAGTAGACTTTAAGATAGTGGCAACCTCTAAGTATCAAGTCAAATCCATTCTTAACACAGAAAGAAAAAAAGACTTGGGTGTTTTGGAGGATTGCAAGGAAGCTGAGAGAAGTCGTACTTGTCGTAGAGGATCATGGCATCATTTTGAGCCTCCTGGCCGTCATACTGGCCCTTTTTAGCTGCAAGCTGGTTCTGGAAGTTGTCTGCCGCCAGCCAGAACTGCAGTACATTCATCGCCTCCTCCTTTTCCATGTACTGCAGGGAAGGAGATAGAGAGAGCACAGGTTTGAAGATTTACTGTATGTCCTGTGTATATGCGGACCAAGAAAATCTGTTATAAATGTTTACTCTGACAACCATTAGCCATCTTTGTGTTGTAAGTTCTGGTGTAAACTGTAATTGCAATTGCAACAGGTTGGGAGATTATAAAGGGAGCATCCATAGGCTTTTTTGTGTGTTGTTTTATGTTTACTGTGGCACCTGTGACAATCGAATTTCCCTCTAGAACAGATAAACAAACCTAGAACCTATTTTGCAGTAGTAGCAAGAGAGGACCAGTGTATAATGAGGAGTCAAGGAGAGCCACAATTTGTATGTGAAAGGAAGAAAAAAAGGTTTAATAACATCGGTGTAGAAACGTGTTTATAATGAGACATCAATCATGTTTTGGGAAACCACTCACCTCAGAGAAGTAGAAGAGAGCTGACTCACAGAACAAGATGTCAGCCAGGAACACGGAGCCACTAGTCAACACTTCAATCTGGTATTTACAGAAATGATGGCTCCGCAGGAATTCGCTAAAGTGCCTGGAAATGAAATAGCAAGTGGGAGATGAATAACAGCCGCCGTTACTGTGGATGTCAAGGTGGTAAATTGACAAAAGGACACTAGTTGCACTTTAATCTTAGTGTCAAAACATGGTGGTGGGGAAACGTCGGCGTGTGAGTATTAACTTCTCTAGAAAATGAATAGATAGAAACTCACTGTTGGTCCAAGATTGTGACGACCACCGACTGTGCAATGACAAAGCAGTTTGGGTCCACCATGCCATCCTCTCCACATATCTTAGCTGCACAGAGGAAAGACGGGAGCGTTAATGTACTAGAGAAAATCATTCAAAGATGGATGACTTATGTACATGGAATATGTTTTATGTTTTTATTATGATTTTTAAAGATGCAGTGATAAATTCGGTATCTTACCAACTATGTCGTTTCTGATTTGTTCTGTGATGGGGATGGGTCTCACAGCGTCTGGAGAGATGTACTTGGTGAAGATGGTAACAGCATCTTTCTCTATACCTGAAAAACACAAAACAGCTGATCATCCAGGGATGTTACAAGACACATAGGAGTGATGCTTTTTGGCCTCGTTCAGCTGAAGAAGAATATTAGAATCCCTCTGCCATCAGCCAGACAACTAGGCAAACAGTATGGACAGCAGGGCCAGCTACAGCAACCAATAAACTCTTAAACGTACAAATGAAAAAGTCTTGTAAAAAACCTGCAAAAGACAACTGTGAATCGCAAAGTCGTCTGCAACACATACACAGTGGCATTAGATTGGAATAGTGTCTCACTTTATTTGACCAAATATTTTCACTGGTGAGGAATATTTTTCAGAGGCACAGGAAGTGAAGAACGGAAAGTTAAGGGAAAACAGCACCATCCCCAGGCAACAATTCCCATCAAAATGTTTTAACTTAATTTCCAGATAATGAGCAAAAGTTCTAATTAATATTTATATGATTTTATTTTTTAAATTGTAGGCATTTTTCCAGGAATGAAAATTTAACAATGTGCCCAAAAACAGGTGGCTGGAAACTTCGTTCCATGAAGCTCTTCAAACTTTCAAAAATTAGCTAGTAGCCAACTGAATAATGTTCCAGTATCAACTGATGTGATACAATGCCCATCAGTGTAAAGGAAAAAAGTCACTTTCTGAATTTCAAACATCCAGAATGAATTTAGCAGTACGTTCAAAGAGAAAGGGGTGTTTGAAGGTGACTCACTTTTCATGAGTTTGTCCGAGAGGTCTCGCAGGGTGCTGTTCGACAGCACCTTGTAGGGAGTCCCTGTCCTGGAGGGTGCCTGCCTGTTTGGGGTTTCTGCTCGAGGAGTGCCCGGTCTCAGGCCTGCTTCTGTGCTGGAGGAGTCCCGCTGCTCCGACAGCGCTGTAGGGCCCTCACTGCTACTGTCCTGGGCGAGGGCATTGGCCGTGTACTGGGCGAGCTCCCGGAGCTCGGAGCTGTCTGCGGAGGCAGGGACGGGCTCGGCCAACGAGCTGTGTTTAACAGAGTTTAGGCTGTGCGCTCGGACCCGTGACCAGCTGGTAGAGCGGAAACTCTCAGCCTCCAACCAGAACCGAACTAGATGGTCAGCACCCCGTAGTTCCATGAAATGCATATAGTGGGGTATCGCCACGTTATCCCGCAGGACATGGTCCACTGTCTTCGAAAGCCGAGAGCGAGTCTCTTGGGGCTGATAGTTCACACTGGAATGACCTGGAACATACAAATGCACACGCAGTTCAGCAATCAACTTAGTAGAGGTAACTAGAGGCTTTTACACAGTGACAACAGAAACAGCGTAACAACAGCATGACATCAGCGTATTTCAAACAACAGGATAATTCAGAAATGAGTAAAAAAGAAAATAAACACTTTACTAACTTTTCAGACATTATGTCCAACTCTATATTTGAAGGTAAGGCAATGTAAAGAATTTTAAATATTGTATTAACCCTGCATGTATCAAACGCCATGCCCCTTTTTTATTATTATGTATCTCAATTTAAAAGAATGATTTCATTATAAAACAGAAAACTGTCCTTACACTGTGACTTTTTTTTTTTTTTAACCATAGACACGAAATCTTGTGCATTTTTAAAGTTTTGTGATTCCATTAGTAGGAATTCATGTTTGCAAGGCTGAGACATTTATTTACTTGTACTTGTGGTGTAATTGAAGTGTCCATAATCGCAGATTTAACATTATTACAGACACTACACAAGCTTTAGAAAAAATCTGTGCATTCATATTAGAATAAGATTTACATTGCCTTGAAGCGCACAGAAGTATTTGACTTTAATAACAGACTGAGCAGTTCACTTTCTATTATCTACAGCATTCAACTTTCAACCTGGAAGGAAGATAAAACATGAAGTGAAAGATAAAAAGTGGATTTTCAGTCTTCAGCTCTCCCATTTCAACAGAAAATTTGGTCCAGGCTGAAGGCTGACGTGAGCGGAATTTAAACTCCTGGATGTTTGTTTTGAAGTCTTGTGAATTTCCAGCTCTCTATCCGTCTAAAAGTGGCCTTAGACTATGCAATTTCACACATGATTAAACCCAAACAAACTTCAGAACCACACGTCAACAGCATCTGTGTGTCCTGTCCATCCTGTCATTCATGCGTGTAGGAAGTGGTCAGCAATGACTGTCACTCATAGAAACCTTCGACAGTCTCCACACTCTAGCAACATCTGAACGCTGAAAGAATTCCTGTAGGGATGCCATAGTATTTGACTTCAAAATGTCTCAAATAGAGTCTGTCTGTTTGAATAACATCCACCATCCTGGGGAACCGCAAGCACAAACACAGACTCACAGAAAACAAAACAAACAAGGGAGCTTATGAATTATGATTATGAATCAGAGCACATCAGCTGTAGTTAGACTGAAGCGTGGGCTGAGGCTTCCTGGTGTTATGTTTGCCCTTTGAAAACAAAAGAATTCTTCAAGAGGTGTCACCCAGTATGTGCTGCTTATCAATCAGGCTCTTCAGATTCCTTAAGATCACACAGTGAAGCCCACCTTCATATTGAAAGCTGTTCAAGTCACAACAACCAGTGCAGCATCCGTATCTGCATCAAATCAAAAAGCCTCATTTACATATCCTTTCAGAGCCATTCAGAGTCTGTTACAATGGCCTGTAACATGTGCTACGTCCACCCTATGCTCTTTGAACCGCTGTCAAAAGACAAGAAAGAAGGCAAATTACATGATCATGTTCAACATTAGGGTTCTCGATGCCAGTCAACTCCTACTAGCTCTGCTACTGCTTTCACTCTCAGCTCCAGGTTGGCCTACAAGCCTTCAGGGAAAATACCCCACCTCGCCTCTTGGAATCCTTCTCCCTCACTTCCTTCTTTTGTCTTGCTTTTATTTGAAACCACAGACCAGAAATCTTTGGCGCGTCTTTGGCGTGTTTCATTCAGGTGTTGTTGTCTGGGCGGTGGCACAGGTTCCTCCACCAGTGTCTGACTCAACCCAGCTATTCTCTGGACAACTTGCTCGTGCAGTTTCCCTCTCTGCTGTCATTCAACATGTCGGCCACACTACACATTCACTTCCTCCTGTCATGGCATCCAGCATATATACTCAGAAACTAGAATGAGTACTTCTGATAAAAGGGAGGAGCTCAGAGGCCAATGTTATCCTGACAGGCTTTGGCCTGTTTGGGTGCCTGTCAAAACTGATGTATGAGGTTGTGTGAGTGCCTCACACAGGATTAATGAGGGAGTGTTTCCCACTTACACAAGGTAGTTTGCTGTTTAAGTTATGTGAGTGACGGCATAGTGTAGCTACTGCACATTACTATGAAAAACCTAATCATCCCCATAAGGTTAAACAGGAGATGTTCACAGGTTCTAATATTGTTATTTTGTGAACATAAATAATATATGTTTACATGTTATTAATTTTCTGTGCATCAAGTATGTTGCATTCTATTATTACCCTGCGATAAGGCTGTGATTAAAATATTTACAGACTCTGTGATTCTAATGTTCTCCTTTTCCTACTGTTATATTTGGTTTTAATAAATCTGACATCCTCCTCCTCTCTAGAGTAGCAACAATTAGCCAATTAATCAATTAGGAAAAAAAATAATCAGCAACTTCCTTTGGATGGTAACAGTAGAGAGAAACATGAATATCAGTGGAGAGAGGGGATGACAAGTAGCAAAGGAACCGGGCTGAATTCAAACCAATCAACTATTTTCATTTTTAATTCAGTTTCATTCATTTTCAAGCAAAAAAAAGCCAAACATTCTCTGGCCTCTGAAGCTTAGAATAGAATAGAATAATAGAATAAACTTTGTCTTTGTCTTGGGCACAGTGCTACAGTTTGTTGCTTCACAGAAACAAGCATACCTCAACAACAGACACACATCCAAAGACAATTACAAAGTCAACATAAAAACATCTTAAAACATGGAAGACACTACAAGCTTCTTAAAGAATTTGCTGCTTTTCTTTGTCTGTATGTATGACAGTAATACAAATACCTGGACTGTTTATCAGACAGAACAAGGGCTTTAAAGACGTCAAGTTGAACTTTAGTAAATTATAAAGGGCATTTTCAATATTTTCTGACATTTACTAAATGATGAACTGAAATCGGCAAATTTTCATTAAAATAATCTTGCAGCCCTACTCCTTTAGCTTGTTTGTTTTCCCCTCTGCTTTGTATGGTTACAACATAATTGCACTTTAACCAAATCTAAGCCAAATAACTGTAAAGTAAGGTGGTCCAAATGTGCAAATGACTGTAACCTGCTATCACTCCCAACTTGGTTGAGATGTCACAGACCAGTGAATCATGTTTCTTATATACTTTAAACCCAAACTTTTCCATCTATAACACTAACTCTTTAATTATGTTTCAGAAGATAATTCAAATGAATATGGTTTGGCTGGGCCTTTATATGTTTTCATTGAAAACAACATACAAACACATGAATGAATGCTATTTACCGAGATCTCCAAAGTGCGCAGCCTCCATGTGACTTGGCTGTTTCTTGAGGATGGCGGTACGACCGCGGGCAAAGGAGTCCATGTTGGCAGAGATGGCGTTGATGGCCACATGGCTGGGCCCGGCAGCTTCCTGGATGGCATGGTGGTTCCTCAGTCCTAATGCTGGAGAGTGAGGGCTGGTTGGAGCTGTGAGTGGAGAATGGAGAACAGAAAATTAGGCATTAGGGGGGAAAAAAAAGGAAATATAAATAAATAAAAGAGTATAATGATAACAAAGTTCTGAGTAGCCTGAATGTATGACATCAGTGTGACTTGTGTGAAAAGGCCTTTTAAGTGAAGGTTCTTGAAAGGGCTCACAGTTTGTGTGCAGAGGCCCCAGGGTGTGAGAGCGGTTTGAGAAGACAGATTGCTCTGTGTTTGTTTGACTGTGAGCTGCATGTGTTTCACTTTAGTAGCTTGAGGTCAAAATCTTGGTCCTTGTGACAATACAACCAGCAAAGATCAAACATATTAAGAGCTAACGTAAGCAAGAGCTACTTGAATCACTTCCTTACAAAGACTAATCTCAGTTCTAAGAGCACACGCATGCAAAAACATCTTTAATATATCTCAAAGTGTCAACGAATGCATCACAACAATCGATATTAACAGACCCTTGTCTCTAGGTGTTTCGTTTCATTTTACACACACTATAAATAAAGCATTTTCAATTCACAACATTGTGCGTGTCATTTTCATAACTACACAGAGGTGACGATAAACTCACCTCTACTGACTTTAGCATCTGTCACTCTCTCAGGTTCTTTGCTTTTGGCTGTGGGGAGAAAGATGAGAGCAGGGTTGTAACTGAAGAAGCAGACAGTATTTTGATTCACAATACAGGGCGAGACCAGCCAGCAAATAATAAAAAAAAAAGTTTTCTAAATCACACGACATCCATTGAGGGGTGAGATAAAGGGTTGGTGTGGTGTCACCGGAAAGACTGGAACGCACTATCTAGTTCCATAATGACATAGAGAGGAAACTGATATACTAGAAAAGCGACTGTAAACAGCTACGCTACGCAAACAAATAATTTACTGCAGATCTGCTTCCCTGCTGCTGCTGACAGATGAGCAGATAAATAGGGAAGCTGTGTTCAGACATGTGAAAGCCCCCTCAGTCCTGCTCTATATATATTAAGCAGGACTGAGGGGGCTTTCATACTGGACGTCAGCATTAAGAGTCCCTTCTAAGATTTGTAACCTTGGACTATCGGCAGTTTAGAGTTGACTGACAGCTTAACCTATAGGTTTAAAGAAAAAAACACACGGTATCATAGCTTAATGGATGAGCTAAAATTATGCAGCCTAATGCAAAACCATTTACCACTACAACTATTTGACGGCACTCCTAAGCTCTGTGGCTACCTGTCAAATAAAAAATGAAATATGTAGCCTGCAATGGAATGAGTGCACAGTGGAATACATGGTGGTAAACACTCATCACAGTGACTCACCATTCATATCTGCAGATTAGGCTGTTGCTGCAAAGAGCGGTCAGCCTAAGTCTCAATTTCAAGCACTGACATTACAAAATGGACAGAAAGGCCTGGCCAGACGGTACTGAAGATGCTCTTTCAGCAACGCTTTTTTGGACAGAGATGTTTGTGAATGCGTGTGTCAGCCAAGAGTCAGAGTGGCCTGGCTGACTGTCACAGCCAAGAGTCTGACCAAGCTTTGCTACTGACGTGAAACGTGGTACAAATAACACCAGACGTCTTTGCTCTAAATAAATATTCATATGATGAGTTGCTGTAATGGATGTTCTGTTAAAACAACGGGCAGTATTTTAGGATGTATTACAAGCAAACTGGGAATGCAGCATCAGAGAGAAAGCAACAGCAGCTTTAAATAAATAACCACTGCATCCATATCATCAGCAGCGCAAACTACACTTTTGGACATATAAATTAATTTCAAAGGAGTTCAATCTCAGAGCACCATGAAGACTCTCTTTAGATGGTCTTCCATTTTTTCCCTGTTAAAGGGGTATTCAGAGGGTGTCTTACACTGTACAGATTGTAAAGCCTGAGGCAAGTTGTGATTTTGGGTTAAAACGTGCTTTTTTTGGTCTTTTATGGTCTTAAGTGGTTGTGACAGCTGAAGACAGACAGGAAAGGGGGTAGAGAGAGGGGATGACACGCAACAAAGGGCCGCAGGTCGGACTGGAACCCTGGGCCGCTGCAGCAAGGACTCAGTACGTGGTCGCCAGCTCTACCAGGTGAGCTAACGGGGCACCCAGAATGTGCTCTCATTGACAGCAAAGTATAAAGATACATCAATGGGTGCCCTTTGACTAATGCTGCACAGTGTGGGCCTGATAGGAAGATAACAAACGGAATAAAACGGATAAAAGAGAACTTGTATGATAAATAATCAAAGTAAACAACAATGAATAAAACAACAAAGTGCAACAAACAAAAGACTAACTCACTGTTCCATACCCCTAATTACAATATAACATTAGCACTATAATTTCTTTGCAGAACTTTCTCTTCAGTAAAAGCTTTGTCTGGTGATTTCAGCCATGCCTGTACCAGCACACTTCCTTCCTGTCAGTTGTCCCAGCTCAGAGCATTGTAAAGTGCACTGTATAATATTTCCTCATTTTGAAGACCTGCTGCGTCAGCTGCTTTGAAAACTGAAGTCTATGAGGACAGACCACTAATCTGACTCTTGAAGATGAGCAAGCGTGGGCCGGTGAGGTCGATGAAGTTACTTCGTCAGTTTACAGAATACAAACCCAAGCAGACTTCAGTAAAAATTCATTTCACAATCACTGCCTCTCTGTTATCACAGCTGTGTTCTTTCTGCCAAAGCAATGAGATATGAAACCTGGCTTGTTGTAAGAAACCTGGCTCAGTGAAAGGGCCGTTCTAGTTGGGATGGCGTAGTAAGAAAATGTAGATCTTCTTCTTCTTTAATTACACTTTGTTGCCAATTTATTAGCTAGAACTAGCTAAAACTGGTGCACCTGGGTAGCTCACCTGGCAGCGCCCCATGTACCAAGGCTGAGTCCTTGCTGCAGTGGCCATGGGATCGACTCCCCCCCATCCCCCCTCTCTCCCTCTCTCCCTCTCTCTCTCACTCTTCAGCTGTCACTATCAATTAAAAGCAATAAAAACTCCCCCCAAAAAATGCAATAAATCCTACCTTCCTGAAGGTTATAATATTCCAGTTTGTTAAAATTGGTTTAGAGAGTTGCTGATGAGACTATATGGTCCTGCTGAACTGTTCTGCATTACACTGAGAGGTATCTCTAAAACGTAGGCTACCCTAGACGATACAAATGGTGTTGACAAAACATAAGACACACAGGTCAGAATAATGCAGTAATAGCCTTCAGATGACCATAAAGTTGAATCAGTGGCTCTACAACAGTTTCAACAAAAGCTGAACATTATAACCTTTATGGAGGTAGAAGTGATTACAGGGACGAGGTATTATACTCCACCTAATAATGAGTGGAGCAGCACAGTTGAACCATGATGTATTTGGCACCACCAGTGTGCTTGGTTGCAGCTCAGTGCAGATCAGTTAAGGATATAACAGATATTACCCCAAAAAGACCCATGTTGAGGGTCTGAAGGTCATGTTGTGCTTTTTAACAACACAGCTGAAAGTCAGATCCAATTCAATCACATCCTTCTTCCTAACGTTGGATGATGCTGACCAGGTTGACTAATGTCAGCTACTGAACGACTCTTAATGAAGCCTAACGTTATGACACACAGTCTCTTAATGATGAGGAACACCTTGGATTCAGATACAGCGGGAAGTATTACCTTCGTTCATGTTTCTTGATGCTTCAGGCAGCATGAAATGATAAAGCTAGCTAGCTAGCACAGTTTGACACTTGTATCCAGTGATGGCTATCACAGATAATAGTGCTAATTGGACGTTTTGGGCATTTAAAGCATCCTTTTATGCAAACATAATCACAGTAATGGGTCTAGGTGGTACACCGACAGCTCTCTGCGGTGGATCTCTAGCGACCCGCGCTAACATTGGGTTAGATAAGGCAGGGAGGACAGAGAGGCCACCGCTAAGCTAACCCTGTTACTGCAGCGAGCAGCGGAAGCAGGATAACTCAAAACCACAAACACTACTGTTTCCCTGGCTAGTTTCCCTGCGGCCACAGTGGCGACCACATTGGGTACATGTTATCTGGGACCACTGCCTCCTCCTCCTCCTCAGCCGGACCCTCCGCTGCTAGCCGCCGTTGACGTTGCAGCCTTCCTCACCTTTCCTCTTGAAAAACGACATGACGGGTTTCAAACTCTGGACGTTTCCTCAGCTCACTGACACCGTCCCGTGGACTCGCGGGTCCCTTCATTCAAATGCATATGTTCCGTACACTCCTGAGGGGGAAATCAGGTGTAATCGCAGCCCCGGCGAGTGCTGTCAAATTACAGTTTTCTCCAAATCCAAACCCAGCTCCGCGGCCATATTGTCAATAAACGTCTTACTTCCGGGCTGGTGCGGCAGCAGCATTGTGGGAAACTATGTGTTACCTGCTCTGGACAGAAGAGGGCGGTGTTTACACGTGGACAACGCCAGATAGTTACAGTATATGAAGCTGTCAAAGGATTTAAGCGCCACAAAAATGTATTTCATTTATTTTATTATTATATTGGCAATCTACCATACTCACAAATATAAAAAGTCTTTAGTATGACTCACATAACGAAACCAAACACTGTTGTCAGTGACTGTTTGTAAAGTTGAAAAATATGTAGAGCAATCCTTCAACTATATATACTATATATATTCTAATAATACATTTTCCATTCACATTTACAGTAAATGTTTTGCCTAAATTTACATCTTTGGACATATTTTGATAACGATAAATGTAAAATCTAAAGGTCAGAACAACTTTCATCATAACAATGACAAAATGTGATTTTAATTCTGCTAACCCAATTATATTGTATCATATTGTGTCCACTGTTGACACTCATAATAACTTGTGACACGGAAGCTTTAATACAAGGATGAGGATTAGTTATAGTCATACAAATATAACTTCTGTTGAATCTTGTTTGTCACCTGATGGCTTCTTAAGGACCAGCACAGATGGTTCCACTTCTACCTGATTGGACCAACCATGAGAGATATGTGAGGGAAGTACCAATCAAACACGTTTAGCACACACCTCCACTGCCATAAAAAGAGGCCTAATGAAGCAAATAAATGAAAACACCTGTGTGTTAGAGATATTGTGCCAGTTTTCTCTCTGTGCAAACAGTGCATAGACTACTTACTGCAACTGTCTGCTCTGGTATGTCTTGCATAATTCTTTCTGTCACGATGGAGTTGGCAGGCACTTTTGAAGTTCAAGGTCCCAGATTGACTATTCTTTTTGAAGTAATGTGTGTTGCAAGTTACCGTTGCGTTCAGTGAACAAACATCCAAAGACAATCCAAAACACTGTGGGGGAATTTAACATTGTTTTTATTATATGTAGTGATTTTGTTTGTAAGAAATGTATGACCTTTTAGAGATGAGATTTAAGAGCAGAAATGATGCAAACTCGTCATATTCATTGTAAAAACTGAGGTTTCTGTAGGGTTTTATAATACAGAGAATCTAATTCAAATCATGTGTTGCTTCATTTAGATTATCAAGAGATGCTGTGCTGCAAATGTAAATCTTTCATTCATTTTTCAATCGCGGCCGATTCCATGGGTCTCTTTGGGCCTGTCGATGCGGTAGACAAACTCTGCTGGCATGAAGTAGCCCAGGTACTCTACAGTGTCCGGTGTGGTGTCTATGTAGTAGTGGCCACCTTCTCCATGGTGGCTGAAGCAGTGGGTGTGCTCCACGCGCAGGTCCAAACCCTTAATACACAGCAAACAAATGAACAGAACCATTACAAAGCAGCTTCCTTTCAGAAATGCACTGCCGATAGGTGTTTGAGAGGAGTGCGCTTACTTACAGGGTCTCTGGATACCAGCACTGACTGGCAGATGAGTGGGGCGCTGACCTCAAAGTGCTTGAGCCAGTTGTTGACGTCCTCATGAGTGTTGAGGGGGCAGGCTGAGAACTCTCTCGGCTATCGACGAGCAGACACGAGGAAATAAATTGAAGTATGGAACTGCCAGTCAATATCGATCTTTAGTTCTGTGTCATGGCCAATATTTACCATGATGTGGATTTTAGCTTTCCCTTTCTGGATGATGAAGGTGCCTCCCAGAGCCAGGCTTTTATCAGGGTAGTGACCTTCAAGAGTGTTCCTCAAAGCTGTTACAAGACTGTGGCTTCCTGTTCTCTTCTTGGCCCGCACCTGGATGACCTGCAGGGGCACACGGGTGAAGAAGGCAACTCAGCCTGTGCAGTCACTCTCCTTTAGTTAATGTTTATCCTTTCAAATGTTGGGTGCACATGTGATGCGACTAAAGTGCATGTACAGCAACTTCAGCAAGGTTATTAACTTCCAGATAATTGTGTTTAAGTTCATATATAACCACAGATGTTCATTATTTGCCAAAAGCAAAGTTGAGAATGCATTTTTGAAGGGTCGTTGCAGGCAGCATCGTTCATTCTCAGATAAAGACGGATTACCTTTCCTGACTTCCCTTCACAAGCGTACAGATTGCCCAGCAGCCCAAAGTTGCAGCCAGAGAATTTGTCACTGTATTTTTCTTGCAGACACTGGCCGTCAGCTGGATTGATGGAGGAGAAGTAGCTGCTGTTCACCGCAGGCCTTCCCTCCGCTTCGGTCAGAACCAGAGGCATCAGCTGTGGACAACAATATTTAGTCCATCAACTTATGTACAATACAATGCTTCAGGTTTATAATGATAACATGATATTTTACTGTCGGGAAATCCACTTTTTCACTTTTTACTCTCCTCGGGGAGGATCTGTGATTCAGCATCTCACTAGCAGGATGTGTGGCAGAAAGGTGCCTTTTTTATTCTATTTTTCCATCATTTAACAACCAGTGACTCCTGACAGAATCAAGTCAGTTGCTTCACCGCTGAGCAACTTGTCTCTTGCTTGTCAAATGTGCAGCTTTCAGTCCAAACTCTAGAAGGCAATCGCACAAGCACCTAAAGTTTGTCTTTGTCAATCCAATATTTACTCTGCAGTCAGACATGCTAGTAAAAAGGTGTTAAAGCTATCTGACATTAGACCTGTTAAGTACCAGTTTTTTGGGGGGGGTTTTTGGCTTCAAGTCAATGTTTTGTATGCTATGGAGGTTTTCAAGATGATATCTGGGGTAGTGCTTGAAATTAAAGATGTCTTGTGGTCCTGGGGACAATAAAAACAGCCTCTGGGACACAAAGACACGTGTCTGGGACAATTCTGGGACAGAAGAGAAATGTATCATTACCAATTAAACTATTACGTATATGTGTTACGGAATATGCACCACAAAATGTGAGGTGGCACCGGTACAAGCTCTATGCTACGTCACACGTGTGCTTACACACACAAAATCAATCAGAGAGAACAGTGTTACCGACTTTCTCGCTACATTTAGCGACTTTTCAGACCCTCTTAGCAACTTCATTTCTAAAAAGCGTCAAATTTTGTGACTTATCAATGAAAAGGAGAGAAATATATAATTTATTCCCATGCATGCTGCATTGAATAATTGCAGCAGTCCACAGCTCTTGAGTCAACACCACCAGGGTCTCTCCCTTTCCTCTTGTGCCATGTGCAGGCAGTAAGTACTGTAGGTGTGACGTTTGGGGCACATTTGACCTTCTCTCTCACTCTCTCTCTGGATTAGGGTGTTCCTATAGTTTGTAAATATGTAAATAGTTCGTTTGACCTTCTTTCTGAATCTTTCTCTCCGGATCTCTGGATTAAGGCGTTCCTATAGCTTATGTGTAAATAGTTAGTTTGAGCTTGTAAATATTTAAATAGTTTGTTTGATCTTCTCCGTCCCTTTGCAGAGTTTTTAAAAAACTCTTTTTACTTCAAATGTATGATGTCCCTGTAGTAAGTTTTTGATTATTTGGCAAAATAATATTAACATTTAAAGTGTGTTCATGTCAATTTCCATCGCCGCCATCTGAATTTGCACTGCAGTTTGCAGTGATGCTTTTATTGGTCGAACAGACAAGCAACAGTAGCTCAACCCATGATTAAATAAATAATGAAAACTGGTTGTGGCCAAACACCTGGGGTGATTTCAGGTTTTAGCTTTTAAATTCCATGCTGTACCACAGTGAGTCAATGAAGTGATGCAAGTTACTGGAAAAGTTATTTAACAATATTCATTATGTAGAATAAAGAAATAACTTCAATTTGGGACAATGGTTGTTAAGTGTGGGACAGCTGAAAGTAGCTTTCGGGACAGTTGTGGGACACTGAGGAAAAAAGCTAACATTGAGTCCATCAGGGCCCTCCTCCCTTCAGAAAGCAACACATAAGTAGTTCTAAAGTGGTGTAAGTCAAGATAGTATAGTCAACTGTGGAGTAATGGGGGTAAAAATGACTCACCTCTGCATTCATTCCAATAATTCTGGAGGGGGCCCCTGCTGCACCGAGGAGGAAGGCTCCCGGCAGCTCCAGCTCCTTTGATATAGCGTTCATGTCGTATTCCTGGGAGGAGGAGAGTCAACTACATAATAATCTCATTCACCACAGGCCATTGCTCATTTTCTCCATTGCAATATTCTCCTAAAATATACCTTGTCTTTCTGGACCAAGGGGACCAGGTACGGCACGCCACCAACATCAGTGATGCGAGGATTTCCACACAAGCCTACAGTGTGAGGACAGAGGTGACATTAAGAGACACATATCATAGACATCCAGCGTTCTTCACATGCAAGAGCTCATGCTGATCTATCTCAATCTGTCAATCAATATATCCACCCTGGTCCTTATGAGCAAAATGAGCTGCCACGCTCCTTGTGTGTCTTTATGGCAACATGTGAGCATCAAAGTTGGAGTTGTGTCCTCTTCTACTTAATGTGTGAAGAGGCTTAAAGAGCTCTGTTAGCTCTCTGTTATGTAATGGTTATGATGCTTTTGCAAATAATGCACTAGCGGTTGACCCTTGACCCCTATTCAATTTTAGTGGTGGAAGAAGTACTGAGATCCTTTACTTACGTAAAAGTACTAATAGCACACCGTGGAAATAACCCACTACAAGTAAAAGTATGTAATTATTGTCAGCAAAATGTCCTTAAAGCAGCAAAAGTAAAGGTACTCACCATACAGTGTTTTACTATAACTGGTATATATGGTGTTTTTTGGTTTAATATTACTGCTGCATTAATGTGTATGTTACATTTTACTGCTACAGATGTTTAAGGCTGTGCTGAATGCAGGACTTTTACTATAGGGTTGGTATTGGGACTTTTTCTGATTATACTGTATGTGATGTGTGATGATCTTTAAAGTAACACTTCTAAAGCTGTCAAACAAATGTAGTGTTACTCTAGTAAAAAGTACAATATTTGTTGCTGAGATGTAGTGGAGTAAAAGTATAAAGTTGCATAAAATAAAATGAATGAAATCATATCTGACAAAATAAAACCAATGCATTCATATTTGAAGCTAATGAGAGACTTTGAGAGGCTGGTAAATGAACCTAATACAAAAACACAGTGTTTGGCCTAAGTGTGTAAGGGTTAAATTGTGCACCAATGGACTAAATACACATGCATACGATTTTCACACTAGATCCAGATGTATACTGTGTATACTTTCTAACATGCTGCATACTGTGGAATATGCATGAATTGACAGGCTCTTACCTTTGACAGGAAACTGGAAGGGCTCTTTGGTGAGATCTGGGCACTCCACAACACTCACCTGAACTTCAGCAAAGTTGTTCTCCAGTCCCGCCTGTAACACTGCAACCAGCAACAATGTCTCTATTACTCTCTCTTTATGATCACCCTATTTCATAAACATGCCTGTGTCACTTCGCCTGTGTATCAGAGCTGAAAGCCTTACCACCACGCAGTTCCTCTAAACCTGGAGCGTGCAGCTGAAGCTTTTCAGTTTTGCTGATATCTGCCATAACTGTACTGGAAGGTAATGTAGCAGCAGACTGTTGGCGGTGCAGGAAAAGTCGATTGTTAAAACTGCACTGTATGGGTGAAGTACAACCAAAGAGTAAGTACGAACAAGATAGTTCATATTCCACATAGCGTCCCCTCGAAGTGCAGCCAGTTCATTAGTGTATTTAGTAAAACTGCAACTTTTATTTATAGTTAATATTGTAATTAATCAATTTTAGTTGTTGGGTTGATGTTTAAACTCTGAAATAGGGGGGAAAGTATAGTGTGATATGGAATTATATAGTCTAGGGAATTATATCATATGAAATGACAGGACCAATGTAAAGGACTCATGTATATATCTTAAAGGCTATATCCATGTGTACTGAATAAACAATGTACCTGCTTTAATGTATTTTACTTCTCTAATTGTTTCCATTGCCACGATATTCATTCAGCTGAAGGGTTAATTACATAGATAGACTGGTTATTTGGGGCTAATATTAATATATTATGTTGAAAACAGGATTCCAATGTTTGTTACGAAAAAGGGAACAAACTCAAAATCAACTTATCTTCAACCTAATTTCACAGTCTTCTTCAGCAGATTTTTGTTTGTTTTGCCCTTTAATTTGATTCTAGTAGCGCTTGTTACTGTATGTATTTATGTTACGTTCACTGTTTAACGTGGTGCAGCCGAAACCGGAAGTACACAGAGTGAATCCTCTTGGTTCTTTCAGGGACCGCTGCCTACTCTTTGCTGATTGGTCAGATGACGATTCGTCACGCCGATGACGTTCAATCACTTCCTGTTTGACCCAGAAACACATGTATCTCTTTTGGATGTTTTGATGCCGCTACACGTTTGTTAACGACGTTAGTGAGAAGTTTATTAATCATTATTGATCTACAGCGGACCTTTAATCACACAGAACCAACACATCTGGAGCACGATCAATGATGAACCCATGAAGACCCCCACTCCTTTGCTGCTTGTTTCTTGCTGCGCTTCACAATGGCAGACGTGCACAGTTCTCTATCTTGGACTCAATCTGATGCCCTTGCTGAGGTTGTATCAGCGGAGTCATGCCACATCGTCCTAGAACCATCCCCTCCAGACTATGTGGAGAAAATATCGCGGTATCTTGAGTCCTCTGTGGGGCAGGGCGAACAGGATAAAGTATGTCATGAACCTGCTGAGGCCGAAAGGTAAGGATGTGACCCCCAGATGTCACAGTGATGATACAGCTGCTCATATAACAGCAGCCTGAATGGCTCCAGTTTGTCTCTCTAACTGTGTAATTGTGTCTCTGCAGTGACTCAGGAGACAGCCTGTTCATAACTCAGAAGCCAGTACCTGAGGCTGTGAGATCAGCCAGTCCAGGTCGCTACAACCTACGGAAACACCCCATATTCCTCTCAGAAGAAAGTGATGGGGACAGTTCATCTTCACATGGAGAATCCAGAACTGCCAAGCGGAGTAAAAGACAGAAATGCATACTGCCAAAATACAGTTTCCCTTTCCTCTCAGAGAAGAAGTGGAAGCCCACAAGCACTCTGTTACCAGCCCGGCAGAACACGAGCCTTCATGTAAGGATAACTAATACTTTTTTCTTCCTATTGTTGTATAACAGATGCTTGCCAATGTTACGTGGTGCTAAAGTCTTTCCTTTTTACAGAATTATATGATGGGAGGCTTCTTTAAATGTGTCAGAGAGCTGTGGCAGGGCTATGAAAGAGGAGATGATGTGGAGTCATCTTTACCAACAGTTGACGTGGATGGGGATTACATATCTCCATTGTCAGAGTAAGTTTATTTTACTCTACTAGCCTAGATCCAACAACACCCAGTGGCCACAGATTGTTTTAGTGAAACTAGTCTACATAGCAGTTAATGGTTTTCTTAACTAAAACAAAAATTAAGAATGTGTCAGGCTGGTTTTCAGGCTTATCATAGTACATACAGAGACATCTTTAGTAAAAGTAGTTGATGAGATTGGGGTAATCTTGATGCAGTAAACGTTCTGGTACAACTTGATAAAGGTGATCACAGAAGTATAATACATAAACTGAGGCAGGACCAGTTTCAGCCAGTCTGGAGCATTTTTTGACCGCTGCTGGGTTAATTGGTTATCTTTCATGGCATCTGAGATATCTTTTAAATTTAAACTTATAACTTACCTCTTTAGTCTGGCTTTTTATTTGAATTATTTATTTATTTTCAGAATTTATTTTATTGTATTGCCCCTTTAATTTACTTTGTTGACTCTTATCAATATTATTTGTTTTGGTCTTTTTTAAATCAATTTAAAAAAAATGTATTATGATCTTTTAATCCTTTTTATTTTTCTCATACATTAGTCTAACATTATTTACATTTGTACTGTCTTTAAATTAGCTTGTCGGTCACCTGTAAAGCACTTTGAATCATACTAACCAATATGATAAGTTTTGTACAAATAAAGTTTGATTGATTGGTAATAAAACGCATCTATTCTGTTTATAGAGAGGAAGAGGAAGGGTCAGAAGTTGAAGACATCAAAGTTGTGGTAAGCAGGCTGTTAAAACAAGGAATCTTGCATCTCACAGCACTTTTTGTTTGTGAACTTTGCCATAATCCGTTTGTCATCTCACAGGAAAGGAAACATTTTGTGGCGACATTAAAAGCAAAAAGCCGACACGCCTGGTGCAACCAGTTGAAACAGAAGAAGAAGAAATCTGGTGATGCCAGACAGAAACCCTCACAAGGAGCTAAGGCATCTATATCGAGGGCTACACCATTGTCTTTGGGTACAGTGAGTGCTGATGATGGACAGTCTTCTTGTGGTGTTCTGGTCAAGAGGAAGAGAGAAACACGAGAGATAAAGAGAGGCCTTACCCAAGGAAAAAAGAAGATTGTTTTTCAGCAAAAAGCCAGGGAGGAAGAGCTGTGTGACGACAGTGACGCTACAGTGTGTGAGCTGCCGATCCCAGGGCAGTACGTACAGAACGACAGAGAAGCATCCACAACCGTGACAGAGCCTCAAACTGATGTTTTCCACACAGACGATCTGTCCCAAACAGCACAGGCAGAGGATGAACCTGAAAGCCAAAGTCTCCTCCGCGGTCTCCCAGACCTTATACGTGACACTAATAATGACAGTGTATGCAGTGAAACCGGGGTTAAGAAGAGGAAAAAGAAGAAAAAAGACAGAGATCATGAAAGTGTAGAAGAAGAAAAGAGTCAGGAAGAGCCACAGGGTGTGCATGCTGCAGCAGAAGATACTCCCAGTCTGTCTCAGGATAACAGGGCAGAGCCTCTGGCGTCGCAGACAAGTGATGAGCTGGAATTTAATGAAAGAAATTGTATTATATCACAAGATGATACCATACTGAGACAGGAGGAGAGAGACATTCCCGATTCAAAACAAAAGAAAAAGAAGAGAAAAAAGACTGCAGCAAAAAATGTCGGACAGGAAGTGGATGGAAACTTAGAATTGGATGTGAGAGTGGAGGATTCTGTGTTTTCAGCGAGCTGTAACGTGGACAATAGTGGCAAGAAGAAAAAAAGTAAAAGAAGTGGTGAGGATGTGGAGCAGTTACAGTCTAGCGCGGTTGCAGAACCTCTAAATGATGATGCTGAGATACAGATGAAAAAGAAAAAAAGGAAAAAGGAAGGGAAGATTGTAGTTGCACAGGAATGTGAAGGAGAGGAAGAATCGAATAGGACTTCAGATTTGCCACCAATGTCAACCGGACAGTTAGAGGAATCAGGAGATTGTTTAGAGAAGAATTCTGCAGAAACATTAGAATCCAGATATGTCAAAAGAAAAAAGAAAAAAAATAAGCATCAGTCATCTAATGATGCTACTAAAGATGGAGAAGAAGTCGTAGATGTAAACTTCTCTAATGATGCTTTAACCTTGGAAGAAAGTACGGGGATGTCACTGAAAAAGAAGAAAAGGAAGAAGAAGAAAACTATCTTGGAGGGGGTGGATATCTTTGGCATTCCTGAAGAAAATGAAAAAGCTGAAGATGTAGATAATACCCAGAAAACAAAGGAGGGCCTTGAAGACCAAAATGCTGAACTGGTGACTAAGAAAAAGAAGAAGAAGAAGAAGAAAATGACCAAAAGATCTATCAGTAATATCTCTGAAGACAGCGTGGCTCAAAGCAATGATTCAGTGTCTGCACGTAAAAAGGAAAAGAAGAGGACCTCATCCTTCCTCATTGCTGATGCAGAGGAAAACGACGCTCAGACACACGGGAAACAAAACTCTCAATCTCATGTCTGGGGTGCAGAAAAACCTGCCGTCAGCACGGAGGTAGAATCAGCAGGAAATGTGGCGGAATCTAACAGCGGGGTCAGGAAAAAGAAAAGGAGGAGGAAGGTGACCGTAGAGCTGGACAGTGTGGAAAAAGATCACAAGCTCGATTTTGTGGAACCAAACGAAACACGTCAGAGTGCTTTGCCTGAAACCACCGACGCAGGGGTGAAAAGGAAAAAGAAACGTATGGCAAATGAAAGTGAGTTTGTGGTAGCCCCTGTGGAAAGATTAGAAAGTGCAGCTGATGCGGGACATTTGCCAACTTATGAGGCTGTAGTGCTGAAAAAGAAGAAGAAGAAGAAAAAGTGCAAAGACGAGCCATTGCACGTGATTCAAGAGAGTGCACCAGCTGCCACTGAAGATGATGAATCAGGACAATCTTCACTGAATGCCTGCAGCTTAGTTTCACACAAGAAAAGAGGGAAGCATTTGACCTCTCCTTCGGTTGCGAAGGGTAAATATGGACACAGTGCTAGCAGTACTTCTGACCAAGCGACCAAGGAAACACTGAACATGGTTGAACATGCCTCACCGTCATTAGAGACACCTGGAAATCAGGCATTACATCATATGAGTGATAAGAAGAAAATGAAATCCAATGATAATGTTCTGGTGAAGGGGAACTCAATTACCAAGTCTGTTGAGTTAGAAAACAAAAAGAAGGAAAGAAATAAGCAATCAACTGGCCCCAGTATTATGTCCAGCAGCCCAGTGTTATTAGAGACATCGCTCTCAAAATCTGAAATGTCGTCTTTAGACCGTATCACGAAAAACGGGCACATGAAGGTCAGGCGGAGACTTCTTAATCCAAGTGAGGACTTTCTCACAGACTATTAGAAGGAACTTGATTGAGTTGTAGATTAAAAGACAGAGTGGTGGAGTTTGATCAGTAGAGGAATTCTCCATAATCACCTGGACACAAGTGAAGTGTAAAATGTGACAGTTGTGGGTTTTTGTATTTAAAAAAATCTTTGTTATGTATTATGTTTTGTATCAAAGCATTTTACTGACTGAATGGTTCTTAACCTTTCTGGTGTTCATATGACCTCTGAACATATAATAACACACCATAACAAAACATAATGCTTACTTTGTTTCAAAATATAAGCTATTAGATATTTGGAGGAAAATAATTGGAATCAGTTTGTTTAACCACATTGTCAACTGACCTAACTGGTATAAATAAAATACCTAGCCTGCCAATGGGAGAGAAGTCATGGTCATTTTTCACTGTTATTTGTTTATAGACATTGTCATTTAGACAAAATTCTCATTTATTATCTAATGAAATGTAATCTGATACAATTATTAATTATCTGTTAAAAACTTTCTGTTACTTTTATATTACCTCAACACCAAATATGCAAATAAAGAAAAAAAACAAAAATGGAAAGCAAGAGCTTTAGCATCAAATATGTGTCCTCTGTTCAGTGTATTTTTAAAGACAGACTGATTTATTATAAAATTGTAATCCCATTTATAATCCCCATTTTTACTAAATGTAATTGTAATGGATTACAGTTACCTTTTATGGTATACTTATTTTGTAACTCAGTGGCATGTAATCCATTACTCCCTAATCCTGATTATAGCTTTAACAAAGTGCACCTTTGTTCGAGAGAATGGGGTTAATAGCTAATGTTATACCACTGCTTTAGGTAAAACATTTTCAGAAAGTCACTTGAATTTCATATGCGATCATGTGTTGTGGGTTTTTGGCATGCTTCACTTTTGGAAGACTAATATGCTAAATATTTTATTATTTATTATTTTAAAAAACCATCCAATTTGTCTGCCCCTATTTATCTAAGTTATATGTAATTTATCCTTTACTCAAAACTTGTTTCAATCAAGATTATGTAGCTGCACATGTGATGAAATGGACTTTGGATAGAGGGGAAAAAAGCTGTAATTGTATATACATTCCCCTTTTTTTCCGTAATATAGCGTAGTTGTTATTTCCACTGGCATTTTGTATTAAACGTGTCACGCTGTTTTATTTTGAAGGCCATGACCGGAAGTAGCTTTTCCGTCACGTCCAGCTTAACAGACTAGCGGATAAATGCCAAAATAACGAAACGTTGTTTTAATTATTTTATTTTGGTAGAACGTCACCGGAAACTAACGGTAAATCTTTCCCTGTAAGTGTTGACAGTGAGACGTAAACAAAGGGAGGAACCTCGTTAACCAGAGTTTCGCCTTCAACTCGAGATGTCGTGCTCCACTCAGCGCATTTTACGCACGGTGACTGACCACAGCAAGCCAGCGGGCCCGTTACGTAAGCGCGCAGCCACAGCAGGCATTTAAACGGTGAGACTGCGAAGATCCAGCTGGAAACTTTTCCTCCGCTCCCTGAAAGCCTCAGAGACCCGCGAGTCTCCGCACAGTTTTGTAGTACCCAGCCATGTCTGCTTATAAAAACAGCGTGTGTTTCAACGAGGCCAGGAGAGTGGCTATTTTCGGAGGGACGCACGGGAACGAGATGTCAGGCGTGACGCTCGTGAACCTGTGGGTGAAGAACAGCGCAGAGATCCAGAGGAAAGGGGTCGAGACCAAACCGTTCATCGCCAACCCGAAGGCTGTGGAGAAGTGCACCAGATACGTGGACACGGACCTGAACCGAGCCTTCAGCCCAGAAAACCTCAGGTAAACACAGCCGGTCCCGGAGCTGGCATGTGCGGAGTCGCTGCTGCTGCTGCTGCTGCTGCTCGGGTGTTGTTGTTGTTCCGGTCTGCCGTCATACATGTTGAATGGAAACTTTGTGGTGGTGGTGGTGGCTCGGATCCAGAAAACCGTTTCACATTTAACAACAGACCTTTGACCCCTCATTTGATGTTATTGATCAGGCTTTGAGCTCAGTCTGATAAGAGAACCATAAGAGAACGTGGCACATGTGAATACCTGTACTGTAAACTGACGGTATATGATCGCTCTGTACATTATCTCATCAGGACGGGGGGGGGTTGTTTGTTTGTTTGTTTGTTTATTTGCGACATCCAGAACCTGGTTTAATGTTACAACCTTGAAGATCTCGACTACAGTTTGTGGAAATGTGTGGGAAAATGTAATGACAGCGCAATTATGCAACATCATCGACATCATTGACTCCGTGTGTGTGTGTGTGTGTGTGTGTGTGTGTGTGTGTGCTCCAGACAAACGAGGAACATATAAGACCCCTTGCTTAGAGAACATTCACAGCATAACGGAAACAATACCCGGGATGGTTGTGAGTTGTTGTAAAATAGGATTCACACCGTTACACTTCTCCTACACTAAAACAGTGGCGTGGACATTTCCATCACACTGTCATTATCTCAGGTAGTGTGTTTACCATCAGCCATGTCCCCCCCCCCCGCTCTCTCTCTACCCCACCCCCCACGGCCCTGTGCCAATAACAGCAGAGCAGCGTGTCCCTTCCTCCCGGACTCGAGCCCACTGTCTGCCAGCAGGAAAAACGTGAGCGGAACGTGACCGAGCTGCAAATGAATTAAGACGATTCATTTATTTATTTATTTATTTTCCGTGCCTCTTCGTGTGCACTACAGCGGAATATAAAGTCTTACGCAAACGCTGGCTCATATAGTCAGTGAGCATGAACACACACACAGCAGCCTATTTACTAATGCGGTTGGATAGCAACATCCCACTATTCATAAATCACCAGGGGAATCCCATAATGACATTCCCAAGGTTACTGAAGTGTGTGGGGTACCTACTGGGGAAGTTGTTGTTATCACCATAATATTTCGTTTCATTTGCTATTCTGTACAGTTGGTATAGTGTTATTAAGTATGTGTGTGTTTAAGTATTATTACATAATGTCTTCTGGTGTTTATCACATTTTACCTATAATTTCTTTGTGATGTTTCCAAGTTATGCTCACATACATCCTTTAAAACATTTTACTGTGTATAACTGGAATGATGGTAAAAGCTCAGATCATACTTTAAATCAGAATGGGTTTAAATATATTATTATATAAATCTAAAAACTAAAGGAAAGTCACTGTTGACGCCTCATCGTGCGAATTCTAAACAATCTTTAAAGATCCCCTCAACGCTATACGCTCTTCAACTTCCGACTCTCTCAAGGCAACATGTAAGAAGATTAACAGCTCATGGTGTCCCATCCTTCAGCTTAATAAGACTGACAGCTCTGCTCTAGCTCATATTTACTGTCTGTCAGTTAAAGTTGGTGCGTTGGAGACCACTTCATCAGCTGTAGTCCACACTGTGCTCATCCACTGCAGTGTCCCGGCAGTCCAGACAATACCAGATATTTGCTGAAAATGGGGTCAAAAGAGCGGATGTGAGGGAGGCGAGACAATAAGGACAGCAGAGGTGCCATTCTACAGTAGCTTGGAGAATGTCCTAGACTAGTGGGTTATTTTGAAATGCTGTTAAAAGAGCCAAGAGAAAAAAGGGAAGCTCTCATTCTCTGCTCAGACCGGTAGAACGTCTATCTGAGGGGCAGAGAGCAAGTTTACCCTCGGGACAAAACACAATTCTCAAGGATCCATTCAGTGCACACATTCAAGGCTCGGAGAAAGGGGATTAAATTTCTTCTTTACACTCACAAAAGGAGGCCACTGTCCTGCTGAATCCACCTACTGTATTCCGGCTTAGATTTAATGACTACCATGACTTTCTACGTTAATGAGTTAAGTCAAATGGTAATTATGAAGACATAATTTACAGTCATTAATATTTTCCTGAGTTCTACACGTGAAGAACTGTAGGAAATACAATCCATACGTTCGACACAGAGGCAGGAAATTCTTGTTTTTCTGCTTTTGACACTGTTGTACACACTCTCAGTTTTACGGTGACTGTGTTAACTTGTAGGTTGTTACTCTCAGATTTTTCCACTGTGGCCAACAGATAGGTGAAAGGGTTACAGGGCGTGTAGGTCAAGTTAGACACCCTTGTGTAAATCATTAACATGCTTCATAGCTCATTGTTCCTTCAGCAGAATTGTCTGATAATAATGTGTGTGTGTGTGTGTGTGTGTGTGTGTGTGTGTGTGTGTGTGTGTGTGTGTGTGTGTGTGTGTGTGGCGCCCGTGCGAGTGCCCTGCAGTGCCCCAGGAGGAGATGACCTGCCCTACGAGGTGCAGAGAGCCCAGGAGATCAACAGGATATTTGGGCCCAAAGGAAGCCCAGAGGCCTATGATGTTATCTTTGACCTCCACAACACAACGTCCAACATGGGCTGCACGCTGATTCTGGAGAGCTCCAAAGACCACTTCAATCTGCAGATGATGAACTACATCAAGGTGACTGCCTCGAGGAGCACATTTGAATTTCTTAAAACTTTTACAACACAAACACACCTCTGTGGGAGTATTCAGTCTGCAACATTAGCTGTTCTGTGGACTCTTCATGTGCAAAAAGGCCAAAGCAGTGGGAAATGTCCCATAAATATTTTTTTATGGCACATGCAGTGCAGTGTGCTGTATGTTAAGAAGTATGCTTTTTACACTTCCCAAAATGAAAGCTAGTGACACATAACTTAAAAGTCAATGCTTTACCAATAGGTCTCTTTGGAAAGATTCAGTTAACCTGTGTAAATAATATAATCATCAGTTTACCATTACGTGTTTGACAAACTCACCTAAAGAATCAACGTCCAAATAGGGAGCTCTGAGAAGGGAACTGAGGAGACACCTTCTTAATTTGTTTTATATACACCTGTAGAACACGTTCAGGGCGTCCATAAAGATAGTGCAGACAGTATTTCAACGACTGAGAATCAGTTTTTAAGAAGCTTTATTACAAAAACATAAAGCTTACTTTGCTAACAATACATTAAATGCTCAGCAATGTGTTATATATCAAACTGGGTCTGTTATCAGCTCTAGTTCTTGTTCTTGCTTTTTCAACACAAGACGAAGTCATGCAGAGCAACACCAGGGAGGAAAAGAGCAGCCAAAAGCAACATACTCTTTGTGACTGTAAGCAATAGAGGTTATGAGAACTTATGAGAGAGTTTTTTTAACTTTTAGAAACACAAAATGCTACACAGAGATATAGTGACTGATAGACTTCAGAAACACAATAATCAAGCATCAGTTATTTAATGATTCATTTCTTGGCCTTGGTGTTTAGAGTTTTCAGTTCTGTGGCCCGCTTTTCAGAAGCTGTCTCGGGCTGAAACATCAGTCATGATTTTAGAGCCTGCCTGGTGGACTGCCATGTCCTTGTCCGAAGGCAAAATTCAGTAGAAATATCCTTTAAAATAGCCTGTGTTTTTAGGACTCCTGTGGGGAAACTGGCTTATGGTGTTTCCTTTCATATCATATACAGTATAGAGTCCATTCAGGTGACCACACTGATTCAGAGATCTCGGTCAAAACAGATAAAAACAAACAATCTTCTATTATTTGAATCTCCGACAGCTTAAACTCATGACGGGAGATCATAGTTTTCTACCCATTACTCTGATGTTGAAGGCCCACAGTGATGACAACACTTCTCCTGATAATCTATGGAGACAAGAATCACTGCTTGCTGTTCGTGCTGAAAATGACCGACTACCAACTTAAACCTGATTCATGCTCATGGTCATTGTGTTTCTCCTTGTTATTGTAGGTGTCACATTTGCTCCGCTGTGAGTCGGTGCAGATTTAATTTTCCGTTCAGTCGAGCAAAACCTCAAAGCAGTCACTCACAGTTAGGTCTGCTTGAGACGGCCGGCTGATGTGTAGCATGATGTGACTGTGTTAAGGAGTGTTTTTGCGTCTGCAGCTGAGATCTTGTTTTTTTTGTTGATTTTGTGCTGCAGAAAGCCATCACTCCCGCCAGTTGTCTCGTTCTGCTCAATGAACATCCTCTTTTGAAATATTCCACTTCACGCTCTGTTGCCAAGCACCCTGTTGGTGAGTCTCTCAAGTCCAGCCAAATTGCTCTGGGGGACAATGGCCTGTATTTAAGATATTTCTAAGGCATTCATTCAGTCGGCAGAGAATAGTATCACATGTTCAAATGTGTCTTGTGTGTCTTTGGTTTTTGTTGCAGGTCTGGAAGTGGGTCCTCAGCCTCAAGGTGTTTTGAGGAGTAACATCTTTGAAGCTATGAGGGTAATCCTGAAACATGCCCTGGACTTCATCGAACTGTTTAATGAAGGTAAGGGCAGGCATACCACAGCAGCTTAAACGTGTAAGCTACACACACATTTATATGGCGTTCAGCAAAGGCCAAAGCAGTTGAGATTAAAGCAAACATTACCACTGAATCAGTTCATGTTTCTTCTCTTAAGTTTGAAGTTTGAAGTTTTAAAGTATTAAATCTCTCCAGGCTTTTGGCTCAGGAGCGACTGTTATTATGATTCATAATGTGTTATGTAATAGAAAAATAGGTTGTTTACAGTCAGTCTGCCTGTTTGTCAGCATCATCGTGATGAGAAACACTTTGTGACAAACCGCCCATGGGTGCCCGTCTGATTCATCCAGATGTACCTATACCCAGATCTCTAAATTTATCTGCATCTGGCTCACGCCGCCTCCGCTCTGCCCCTTCTCCTTCCCCAAGGCGTGGAGCAGCGTTTGCAGTGTTTAGGCACAACGCATCTTTTTTCCTTCCTCTTTTACGTAAACAAGCTGTCTGTGCCAAAGTGTGCGTTGCAGTCTGTTGGTTTCCCCTGACTGGCCTGCTGTTGAATGGCCTGCTTGTTGGGAGTTGGTCAGTTTCCATGTCATTAGAGTCTGGCTGCCAACGGTGTGGTAATCTTCTGTCGTGGGGCCACACTGGTGCTGATAAATACTCAGGCACGGTGATGAATTGGTGTTCTTGGCTTTGAAGCTGAACAGCATGAAGAAACAACTCGCTTAGCTATTAGAGATTCAGTAGTTGTTGAAAATGACTTTGTCTGTAGAATAACAATCACAGAGATTCAGTGGGAAAACTTCTTGCTCTGTGTTGCCACTTGCATAACAATACAGCATGGTGGTCTTACTCTTGTGTGGTAAAGCAGTTCATTTGAGCATCTACATACTTAATCCAAGCCCAGGCTCTGCCAAAAACCACTGCACTTCCTGTTCAATTCCGGAGAGTGAATAAGGCCACTTTGGCTCTGTGTGGCACCGTGCAGCCTCAAACTTTACCAAAATACTATGATGCAGCTACATATTAGATTAACTGTACTATATTAGAGTGAAGTAACTGTTATGTGTCTGAGGCTGACCTCTTCGAAATGCATTGCAGAAAGCTGCATAATCATAATTTGTCCATTAATACTCTCAACCCGTTTACCTCTGGGGAGAAGTATTTATACCATAGCTGATATTTATGAAAATTCTGGCCTTTCCTCCCAGGTAATGCACTCTTTATTTTTTTTATTATTATTATGGGGTTTTTTTGCAATTACACTTACTGGCATGAAAGCCTGCGGAGTCCATGGGACAGGGAATTTAGGAACTCATCCTTTGTTTAGTGTTATTTTAGTGACAGCTCGCTCCCATGGCATTGTGTCGTATTTGTATTTCTTGTTGTTAAGCTTCTTATAAGCCTGTAGCAAACAACTCTTTGCAGACTACAGTTAATGCAGGTTGTGTTCATCATTGCAGCATTTGTTCCTTGGATAAAAATGGTCCTTATATGCACATTGTCTGGCATTGACCAGCAGTATTTTTTATTTTTTTTCGATGAAGGGAGGTTTTTATCCAGGATCCTGGGGACAATTGTAGTTTTTTCAGTTGATTCTGCTCTTCCCTAATAGGTCCTCTTTAAATCAGTTATCATTGAGAAAAATGTATTCTTAGCTGCAGATGGGAAGCACCTTGCCCCGTCTCTATCATCTGCCTTTCTTGATATTTTGTCTTCTTGTATTGTTACTTTTCTTATGTCTATTTGATCCTTTCTCTTCTTTTCTTAGATTGTTTTATCCTCACATACTCAGAGGCTTTACCCTTGTTTCTATATTTAAAGGTCCAGTGTGTAACACTTTGGAGACTCTATTGGCAGAAATGGAATATAAATTTATAGGTATGTTTTCATTTGTGTAACCTGAATGTAGGAATCATTGTTTTTGTTACCTTTGAATGATCCGTTTATATCTACAGACTCTGCAGGTCGCCTTTCGTGGAGGCCGCCATGTTGAACCACCATGTTTCTAAAGTAGCCCAGAATGGAAAAACCAAACACTGGCTGTAGATAGGACTATTTTTTTAAAAAACATTTCAGGGCCACTGTAGTTTCTCCCTCGTGCTTGGAAAGGGAGGGTGAAGCGAGTGAGTTGCGATCTGCAACTACACCGCTAGAATCATACACACTTGACCTTTAAGGAGGAATTTATTAGGCTTGACATTGCCTATTTCTTTTTCTTCCCTTGTTGGAAATAATTGTGTGTCTTTGTATATTATTAAATCACAATTTTTGGATGCTCACAACATTGGGGATGTTGTTTTCTGTGTGTTGTTTAGGGATGGAGTTCCCCCCTTGTACGGTGGAAGTTTTCTGGGTCTCAGAAAGGATTGATTACCCCAGAGATGCCAATGGAAACATCATTGCCATGGTGCACCCCAATCTGCAGGTCAAAATGAGAATAATCTGAATTACGCCTGCCTTGCCGTCTCTAGCCCAAATACATGACCTAGGGAACCTGTAAAGTTATTATGAAAGAGGAAATGAGACATCTTTGCTTGATTCCGTCTCTAGCCCAAATACGTGATCTAGTGAACCTGTAAAGTTATTATGAAAGAGGAAATGAGACATCTTTACTTGATGTGAGAATATATTATTTTAGTTTGAGCAACCTACTCAAGTTACTTATTGCTTGTTGTTGTTTCAGGACTGTGACTGGGAACCGCTGAACCCTGGTGACCCTATGTTCCAAACATTTGATGGAAAGACCATCCACTACCAAGGCTCAGGCACCGTCTATCCCACTTTTATTAATGAGGCAGCCTATTATGAAAAACAACAGGCGTTTGTAACCACCAGGCGAGAAACCTTGGTTGCAAGCGCCATCAGAAAAGCATGAAAACCGGTTTGTGAGGCTGATAGCGACTATGAATACATGTTAGCCAGAGCAACGATCTATGTATAGATTTTGCACTTTGTTCTGTTAGCAAATGACACTTTCCTCACATAATGATTAGATACCATCTTTTACACACTGATTTAGTTTTCTATGCGTTTACTATCACAAAATCTATTAACTATGCAAAGAACATTTGTGGAGGCACTGTGAAAGTCTTTGATCTGAAGACTGGTATATTGCTGTGGTAAGTATTTGTGATACTGCTGTTATTTTAAAGATATATTAACTTTGAATCAACTAAGCTTTTATAATATTAAAGGCCAGGCCTAATCATTGATGGCTTATGAATCATTATACAACACTACTACTACTGCTCAGGACGGCCATTGAGGATCATAACCTGCAACTTTTGACCCAAAACTGTACGTTGTTTGTCTTCTTCTAAAAATATATTTGTAACATCTTTGGGAGGGTGTTTGTGGCCTTTGATTCTACTTACCTGTAACTCCAGTGGTTGCATTTGTGGTGCTGTCCTATCATTGCCTTAATAGAGATTTCAAAGAAAATTGCACAACAAATTTGGAGTGGAATTTGTAGATTATATGTGTTGGATAACAAGATATTATTTTGATAAGAAATGGTATATGTTCTGTTCCTCTACACAAATGGGATGCAGTTTGAAACATGTTTTATAGTAATATATTTGTGTCTATTTTGATATACTTGTACTGTATGTTTGGTTTTAAGTGATATAAGTGTATAAGACGTGTTGAATCATGAAGCATATGTACTTTCTAATATTTTTACGTCTTTGTTGTCTCAAAGTATGTCGCTGTGGTCTTACAATAATTAATTTTTCATTCAGCAATATTTTTTGTAGCACCCTTTATATGATTAGTAAAGTTTACTGTACTTGAAGTCCTGTGGAAATGATCCATTCAATAAATGTAGTACAATGCTATTCTGTGCTATTTTATTGTCCGTAGCTGATCCTTTAGACCAGTGGTTCTCAACCTGGGGGTCTAACCCCTACTGTGGGTCACCAAAGCTTCATGGGGCGTTGCGAGGCCTTCTTGGGTTTAAGTGCTAGAAATTTAAAGGCTAGAAAACTTACACAGTAGGCCTACAACTCAGCATTTTATTCACTTCTGGGAAGAAAAGTAAATGTAAAGTGAAGTAAATTGTCTAATAGAACAATGGCCAAGCGTCAGGGTCAAGAAAACAAAGAATTTGTCAAAACAGAAACTTAGTACGTATGCATGCATGATTGTTAAAATAGTATAAAAAAATACTAGTTCATCCAAATCACTCCTTTTACACAAACTTCTTGCAGTTACTGAGTTCATTATTTGAGATAATTGTACAGTTTTTAATACAATATGAAAAATCCATAAAATATATCAGTTGACTAAATGATAGAAAAGTTTGGGAACTGCTTTGGACTGTGTTGCTTTTTAATCAACTTTATTATAGTTCACACATATAAAAGATTAAATAGACAAGGAAATTGCTTCAGTAAAATCTTGTAAAGTTCTTCAGTAAAAATCTTTGTAAAGTGCTTCAGTAAAATCTTGTAAGGTGCATTTAATTCATAAAGTTCATGTAGTCAGAGAGTTCATTTTTTTTCAGGTGCTGATCTATATATTTAAAGTGTTCCATGGGAGGATAAAGTTTTTGTCCATGTTTTTCCTCCTCCTGAGTTCTGTGTGTATTTGTTTTGTGGCTGTCTTACTGTCGATAAAAGTCTGGTAAATGGTCATGGCAGCTCTTGTCTTCCAGAGTTTAAAACAGACAATGCTTATGATGAGTTGGAGTAATTCCGTTTGGTCAGGTGGTTTATTGTATCCGGTCATTAATTCGTACATTACTGATTTCCAACATGGTTTATAGTTTATTCCAAAGTCCTTCAGAGCGTCCCACACTTCCTGAGTTCTAAAACAATCCATTAAAAGGTGCTGTTGTGTCTCATCATCGATGCAACCAGTCAGTGGACATTTCTTTGTCGTTACATAGCAACTCCAAGACACAACAGCCCTGACAGGAAGTCTCCCCACAGATATTAGCCACCTAAAATCTCTCTGACAGGTTTTTACACTTTAAAATATCTATCACCTCTGTGCCTTCGTTTACAGTTAAATTCTTATATGTAATAAAACCTCCATGTTGCTTTGACTGCTCATGCTTTTTTTGTCATGTATGGTAGCACCTGCCTCCACAAGAGGGCATCACATAACCACTTATTAAAGTCCTCTCCATGATGCAGTATAAAATATACTGGAGTAACCAGCTGCAGGCTGTCAGTGCATGTCAATGCATTGTATCTAGAGTGTTACACTGTAACTAATACTTTTAGTACTTTCCTTGTTCCAGAACCACAGACCCACAGCTTAAATTTACAACCCAAAGTTTGAATCCTGACTATGTTATATATACAGCAGAATCACCATTTGAACTCAAATATACAGAGGGGTGACAAATGAAAGAAAAAAACCTCAATAAATGAGTGAAGAAGCATGCTGAATGCAGCTGCAATAGAGTTGCAGGGACTTGTAGAATCGATACCAATGAGCACTGAAGCTGTTCTGGTGGCACGTGGTGGTACAAACACCTTACTAAGACACTTTATGTTGGTTGTTCCTTTTCCATGTTATCACCCGTCAGTATAGGCTCATTTATTATGTTTCATCTATTGAAAGAATGGAAGAACATACATAAGAAGTTTGGAGCCCTGACTTCTATTCATTTTATTTAAATAGATATTAATTTGAGGATTAAAAATTCTGATCATGTACCAAGGCCTTGCTGCAGTGCCCACGGGTTCAAATCTGACCTGTGGCCCTTTGCTGCATGTCATCCACTCTCTCTCTCAACCTTTCCTGTCCATCTCTCAAGCTGTCCTCAAAAAAGAAAAAAGTATATATATTTTCATAGAGCTTATTCTAACTGGTGCCATTTTCAAAGACACTTCTTTGCTACAGAACACACTACTGTCACTGCATTATAACACAGCACTGCACGGCATGCTGTTACTGATATGGTTGTATGCACTGCACACAATATGTTGCAGATAACATGTTAAGTGTTTATAGAAGACACACACAGGTGTTTACAGTGACACATCCTTTTTCAGAGCATACAGTTAATGCTACAATTACAGCATAGCTGGAGATTTTGTTCATGTCTTTCAACCTGTTGTTGTTTGCCTCACACTATTGGTGCCTTCTCAATTGCAGCAATGAATTCCATTCAACAACTTAATTAGACATCTCAGGTGTCCTGGGACATCTGGATTTGAACGGGAGTGAAGTAGGCCGAGAGGTGTGGAAAAACATTTCAGAATATGTACATTTGTGGTGTATAGAGGGTTGGATGACATAACAATGACCTTAAACATACAGTATATCATGCTTTCTGTAGTACATGAATGTTTTGATCTTTGAACTGTGGTGAATTTGTTGCTTGATGAATGAAAGCACTTTGGGAATGAGATGAGATGAGATGAGTAAAGAATGCTGTTTGCCAACTACACTATTTTCTCAGTCATGTCATTATGTTTGGTCTGAACATGACACCGAGCTAAGATCATCACTATCAAAAGATGACGCTCTTACTCATATGTGACAATCATATCAGTAAAGTAACAATCATATCAGTAACGTATGAAATGTGTGACGGTCACAGCTGAGGCAGTCATACTTCTGCATTCCACAAGCTGACTGTATCGAACACTTGTAGGTTAAAACTCCATACATTTCCTGCTATATCATGTTAGACTTGTGATTAGTAATTCAGTTTCATGACTACAGGCTGGCCATAAGCCTTTTACATCTATTCATTACAGTAACCCAATCAGGGCTCTCAGGCCTGCAGCAAGTGCTGATCAATGATTCCTCCCGGCTACTGAAAGCTTTTAGGAGAATGATCTTTCAGTTCTGGGCAGGGATCCAAACGGGCATTAGAAAATACCAAGCGTCCATCTCTGCCTCCACCCGCTCCTTTTGTCCTCTTTCCATAGTGATAACTTTCTCCGGTGTTATATAGCATTACAACTCTGTTTTACTGGAAGTCTCCTGCTTGGCTGCTTACCAACATGGACACAGCTGCACACATCCTGCTGAGAGGAAGGTGATTAGGTTTTATGTTGACTCCTTAGTGTAATCATCAGTCATGAACACCACTATGATCAAAAGTGTTCAAGGTAAGATATACTTTTTTTTTTCTCCCATTGTTAAATTTAAAAATATAAAGTGTGTGTCTGGTGTGCCACAAATCAAGTATGTGGAAAAAGCTGAACAAGAGTAACATTCTCACCAAATGTATGCAGTGATAACACTAGCATCAACCAAAACAAGCAAGAGAATGAGGATATGTTTATCTGCTGTAAGCTTTGACCTGCCTGTATGCAATATGAATGCATAAATGCACAAATAAAAAGCACTAACAGGTCTAGTATCTATGGGAAATGGAAATGCCTGCCCATGCTGTTAGAACAATAAGGGAGATAATAAAGAGAGATCCACATGGACCTGGGTAAAGCCAATACATAAGCTCCATACACCAGGGTTTCTCACTCTCTTTCTGTGCCGCTCAGAGCAAGTGTTACAGCTTTGTATGCCATGATAGTCATATCAAATACTTCCCAGTGGATCTATATATAGATCTTATATATATATATATATATATATATATATATATATATATATATATATATATATATATATAAGATCAGCCTGATGACTGCCTGTCAATGCTTGTCAGGGTGAAACAGTGATGAACTCAAACTCAGTGTTGCTGTCGGAATTCTTTGTACCTTTAAACATGAAAGGGACTATGGTGGATATTTCATCTGGAGATATATAATTATCATGTTTCTATATTCACACCGTAAGGATTAATTACAGTGTTTTATTTCCTATTTATTTTAAGGGTGAATAGGGTAAAACTAATAGACGTCCACAGCTGGTTACTTACATTAAGACAATTACTTTTTGTATTACAAGTTTCCTAAAACGTTATGTTTAAATACGCAAATAATGCTAACGAATTTCAGAGAAACCTACAGATGCAAATATAGACATTGTGTTGTAAAGTAAACATCTAAAATGTCTATTTTGGGCGTATTTATCTACTAGTCTGAAAGAAGACATCTTATGGACAGTGGCGTGCACGGGGGGGCAGGGGGTGCAGTCGCCCCCCTCATGGCCCAATTGTTGAAAAACGCGTGCTGAAGTGGCCTCTTGGGAGCCACAACAGTGCTGAAGTGTCCTCTTGGGAGCCAAAATGTGTGCTAAACCTTTGTTGATCTATATTGAGCCAGAACTATATCTCACAGAACCAGTTTGGATTATCTGGTGCTAATACGGTGTTAAAATGCACTAGAATACAGGAAATGGCTTCTACTTAATTGAAAATATTCTGGGGGAAGACCCCCAGATCCCCTAGGTATTTATGTCCTTCGTACATCCATAGCCCCGTAGTGTTCTTCACAGTCCAACGTTGAAATCCACACAGTTCTTGTGGATGCTGATCCTAACAGCAAACTAAACTGAGTAGTCTGTCTAGTTAGTCTGTTTTAAGGCTATATAATGTGACATTTGTATAACATATAAAACGTGTCTAAAGTGGACTCTACAGTGGTGAGGACGCTATATGTGCCCTTTTTTTTTCTTTCCGCCCCTGCCCATCAAAAAGTCTGTGCACGCCACTGCTTATGGAAGCAAAATAGCAACAAAAATCTCAAAACTGACGAGTGCATGAAGAGTATGTTTTTGTCTGTATTGTATTACCTTAATATAACTTATAAATTTGACCTACAACATATTTTTCCACCCTGGTAATCTCACAGAAAGTAGACCCTAACTCTGTGGTTGATTATCTAAATGTTGTTTTCAACCAGCGCAAACAAACCTGCTTCAAATGTGGTGTTAACGGTGTGCTGCATTGATTTTGTCCTGTAACAAT